TTTTTTTCCCTAAGGATCGTTGGCAATAAAAAGACTTTTAAAAAATGCAAGAAACAATAACAAGTGACATTTTTCCCGACTTGACATTGTGAGTGGTTGGGCTCCAGTATGGGGAGAGCAGGAGAGAGACAAAGGAGTGACACGAGAGAAAGGTAAGAAAATGGAGAGGGACAGGTCCTGGCTGGAGCCACTGGACACCTTTACACATATCTATGTATTTGTGGGTGTTTATACAATATTTCCTTTCCACAAAATAAATAAGTCACATATGAAGATAATGCAACCTGAAAGAACAGCAGTTGAGAGGATTTAAGGTCATTTAGGAAAAAAACTTTGAAAAACTCTTAAAGAGGCTCAGTTCCACGTGGAAATTTGCAGACAATGAAGCCTGGAGCTCCAACTCACCATGTACACTGAGCTTCACTGACTGAGTCACGTTCCCAGCAATGTTTGTGGCGACACAGATATACATTCCACTGTCTGACACTTGGGTCTCCCTGATCTTCATTGACCCTGAGGGGAGCAAAGTGTGTCTGGAAAAAGAAGAAGCAGATAAACCATATAAACATGTATGGAAAGGCAAATGACCTCTCCTTACACACTGCTAATGATTGCTACGAGCTAAAATAACACTACTCTGACCATATTATGCAACTATGACTTATAGTTACTCTTTTTTTTTCTCTAATTCTTTATGGGGCCCCTATATTCAGAATACATAACAAATATGCAAAATTTAAGATGCAAATTACAAAATTTGGTTCTAGATATTTATAGACTTATTAAAATGTGACAGAGGCAGAGAAATGGAGCTCTTCACCCCTCTTGTTAAAATTTTTTGCTAGCTCAGGTCAGCAGGGTCAGAAAGTTACAACTTTTATTAGTGCTTCATCCTGGCAAAAAATGATGTTACATTGATTCAAGATGGAAGACAAGATTTTGAATCAAAACTACCAGTTCTGGTGTTTATAGGAATTGCCATTATCTCCCAGTAAATAATTAACTACACAACATTAAGTTCTCCCACAGTTCTGGTCACAGATTTGTAACACCAGGAGCTACTTTGGCCAGCTAAGCCAAAATCTTCTGTAGGAGTCAAAGGTAACAGAGACAGGGAGAATAAGTGAGGAGGGAATAAAAAATGACAGCTAAGGATTGACAAGAAGAAATTCAAGCCTGGTAACTCAATATAACATCCCAAATTGGTGAGATCATCTGCCTTCCTCTCTGTGGCACTAATTAGGGCATTACCATAAGGACATAAATGGTGAAATTGGGGATGGCAATGGCTGGAGAGATGAATGGAAGGAAAGTGAAATGTATTTTCTCCAGTGTAAAATCTGTCTGATACAACTTCTCCTCCACTGCCTGTATATTTCCAAACTTTTTGGCACTTTTTTTATAAGCCCAAAAGACAAATTTCTGAGGCAACTTCTTCTCCTTGATTTTGTCCAGTAATTACATTTGCTTTCTGATAAAAGTTCCTTCATATCTGATTTCCCTCTCCCTTTGTTTACTGTTCACATTTCTAACAAGATCTTTGGGTGGTCTCAAACAGTTCTGTTTGTACTAATCTGTAACTTTTGCTGACATCTGTAAACAATTTTATGGAACGGGCTGAGCTGGACTTCTGTTCCTCTGGACAATTTGGATCTCACCACAACAGCCATGAGCAAGTACCCTAATTTATCAGTGTCTCCTGAGGTAAAACAAGGACAAGTAAGAGACCAAGAATGCAGAATTGTTAGTGCATGCAACGTGCTCACAGGACACAGCAGAAAATCCCTCATGGATTACTGACAAGCCAAATCCCTGCACACGAGCCTCCTTCAGCAGACACGGTGGCCAAAGATCTGCTGAGGCTGTCACAGGCTCCCAGGAACGCCTCCAAGGTGCAGGTTTGGCCACAAGAGAAGGAGGATCTCCAGTACAATTCCTTAGCTCAGACACTGGCTGATTCCATCCCTGGGATCACTGGTAGACACCAGCCATCACAGTGTGCCTGTGGCCAGCCTTGCCATCCCCCTGTTTTATGAACACAGCTGGTGCCTGGCCCTTCTGAGGGACCCTGAGGAGCAGAAAGCAGCAGTACAGCCTGTGACAGTACCTGGCACTGCACTGGGGAGCATCCAGGGAATAGTCACCAGCTCATCTCCCCTCTTGTTCTGTGCCACATTAAATAATAAGGGAGAACTCCAACAAGGTCCAACACAGCTCTTCATTCTCTGAGGCTGTCAGCGCAACATTTTACAAGTATTTAACTCTGCTTTCACATGTTCAAAAGTCTCTGGTGAGTTTTTGGGTCCAAAACACAGCAAGCAACACGCCCTTGTCAGCACACCCAAACATTTATCATCATCATCATCTGTATCCTACTGCCAGCCCAGACTTCATGTAAAGCATAGACAGTGATCCCCTGGGCATAAATGTGAAGTACATAAGAAACACAGTTTTTAAACAGTTATAATCATGCATAGATGATGTGGGTCTCTGGGCACCACCACAGTACAAATACCCAGGATCTCTTTCCTCCTGATTTTGGATATAAGCACGTGCTGGAATGTGAGCTGTGCAACTATGACAGGCTTAGCAGGCTTGGGAAAGAGAGTTTCAAGACCCAGTACAACAGGTCAGGCAGGACAAAGTAACACCTTCTGAGTGATCCTGTGGCAATCAGAAATCACACATCCTTCCAAAATCCTGATAGTTTAGAGGGAATTTTACTTCTATTTTGTTTTCATCAAATATTGTTACCTTGGAGAGAATGGAGATATGAGCTGCATGTCTTTGGCCCAGGTAATTATGGGGGGTGGCAAGCTCCTCACTTCACATGGAAGTGTGACATCTTCCCCTGCAGTTACTGAGACCTCTATGGGCTTATCATCTGCATTTCCTTGCTGCTCTCCAGGCCTGGACACTCTAGGTTTCACTATAACATGGAACACATTAAGAAGCTGCAATGAATATACAAATTTGTACAAATGTAACACCATACAACATCTCGGTTTTTGTCAGGTATAAAACATTACAATCCTGTTTTAATGACCGGTCTGCAACAGAGATAAATCACGGCCATACTGATGTATAGTGCCTGTAGCTCATACACCAGCTGATGCCCCCATGGAATAGCACAAATAGCAGAAAGCCTGGACTATCCTTTCAAAAAGATGGACACAACAGATGGTTGTAATTCCTGCATGTGCTGAGCTCTGTATTGCACAGGTAGTTAGCAACCACTCCCTGAACTGAAACACCAGAAACTCCAAGCCACAAAAGCCTTGCAAAGCACACCTACACCTGAACCAATTTTTAATAACATTGGATTGATGATGACAGGAAGGCTTGGGACTGGTGGGATTAAAGGATCTTCATTCTTCTCTCAGCAGGAAATTCTACTCCTGTGCAGATGCTTCATATCCACTTCCATAAAGCTGAAATTATGCTCAATCCAAGGTCCGTGAACTCGGGGTAAGAGGGATAAGGAGGCTTAAAGGGAATTATAGTGGCTGAAGGACAGGCCTTTTGGGATCAGCCATGTATAAAACTACCTGGTTTGGGGATCCCAAAGCACTGACTAGAGAAAAGCTCCCATCCCATGTGCCCTGGTTGTGCCTAGCTCCCAATGCACTGGATGGGTGACAAGGACCCTGCAGCTGAGCTGAGGTGACACCCACCATAGACAGTCAGCTGCACCTTCCTGGTGGCATAGCCAGCAGCGTTGGTGGCAGTGCACACGTATTCCCCACTCTCTTCTCCCCCTGGGGACACCACATACAGGCTTCCATCTGACCCTGCTGAGAACCTCACGTTGCTGGGAAGGATTACCTCTCCTTTCTGTGGAAAGAAAAATAATAAAAGTCCACAGTGTCTGGATTTTCCAAAATAAAGCAAATAACAATTATTTAATTCAATAAAAGTTGCTTTTGTTTTTTCGAGGCTGTGATGGACAAAATATTTTACATTAGCTAAGAAACTTGGCCCTAAAATTCCATTTATACAAACTAATTAACTACAATTAACTTTTCACAGTCCTTAAGTATCATTTTCTAAGTAGTAACAAGAACAGAAGCACAGGGATTCTTATGCAGAAAGCCTGCTACATTTTACAGACCCAAAACCTTAAAAGAAAATTTAAAAAATAATATTCAAGAATAATAATCAACGGAGTTAATTTTGACATTGATTTCTGATGTCAAACTGAATCTTGTATACATTACACAAATTTGTTCTTAGTCAACTGCTTCCTCATCGTGTAGTTGAATAAGTGATAAAATAAAGAAAAATAAATCCTCCCATGTTCTCTTCCCTACCAGACCAACAGTTAACCATGTTCTATTCCTTCTTTGAAACAAAGCTGCTCCCAAGGTCCCAATCAGTTACATCTGCACAGCTTCTGAGGTCCCAGAAGCAACTTCACACCACATCATGTGAGCTGTAACATACCCCAAATAACTGTTACTACCAGAAATTACCCTGTTCAAGGAGGGAAAATAAAACCCAACTGGCTTCAAGACAAATTCCCTCAAAGGCTGAGGTCCTCCTCAGTGCACATCTTATCAAGGTCATGACTGAAAAGTCATGAGCTAACCCCACAATGCCATTATTAAATACACTTTCCTCAGAGAAAAAAGTCAGAGCTCCACAAGAAAAACAAACTCTTAGTCTGTGGCAGGCTGCCTAAACTCAAATTATCAACTCACAACAGGAACAGGAACAATTTCTAAAGTGTAAAACCCATAAAGATACAGCGATAACCTAAGCCCTGCCAAAGAATAGAACACTGAGCTGCAGCAGGACCACAGCCAAAAGTTCTGCTCTAAGAAACAAAAGCAGCTCTGAACAGAGAGAGATTTCCAGATCCCTCACAACTGGAGTTTTGGGCCATGTTCTTTAATTATAGTTTTTATGACAACTAAATTACACGTTCAGCCCATTTTTCAGCATGAGCAGCTCAAAGGTGAGGGATTACCTTGGACCAGACAATGGATGGCTTGGGAACTCCACTCGCTTTGCAGGGCAGTGTCACTGGGATTCCTTCAATGGTGCTGAATATCTGCTGTCCATGATGAATGACAGGCAGGACTACAAACACATGCAAATATTAAAGACATCCAGAACTCATTTCAACGTGGCACAATTGATGTATGATAAAATCCTTATATCCAATTACTACTTCCTACAGGCAAGCAGGGTTTGGGACCTTTAAGCCTCTTCTCCAATCTTAACATGGAAAAGGAGCCACTTTCCAGCCTTTCAGGACAGAATAAATCCCTGTTCACTACACAGCCTGCCAGCCATAGGCTCATCACTGCATTATGTGCAGGCAGTTTTAAACTGACTGCAGGTTGTATTTCACTGACTGAAATTATTTCAGAAGGGCTTTGTCACATTATCATCTGACAACATTTTAGGCTTTGCTTCTCAAAATCAGTAACAGGAGACAATAAAAACCTGAATTTCCTCACTCAGTTGAGCTGCCTTTGAAGTAACAGAAAAATAAGGTAAGATTTAAGGGTACAATACCAAAACCAATATGTTTCTAAACACACACAAAGATATTCCTTTCTGTTCTCAAGCTCTGAAACATTCAAAAAACTAGCGTTGAGATGGAAGATCTTATGAGAACTTGCCTGTACTAAAAATTTATAGCCATTCTTTATATAAAAAGAGGTTTCAGCATCTTCAGTGAAGCTTAAAATAAATCTCCCACGATTAACTTAACATGTGAGAAAATTTAACACGTGAGAAACCATAAAGTGATTGAGCTAACACAAATATGCTCAGCTGAAACACAGATGGATTACCAGAGTGCTAACACTTTGTCTTGCTGTCAGTGCAGTTTTTGGTATGTTTTAATTAAAGAGAAAAAATAAGGGGGAGGAGAATGGGGATTACACCAAAAACAACAAACAAATTATGACTTTTACCAAACTCATAATTCATTTTCTTTCATTTTAATTCTCCCATGAGCTGTGCTTCCTTACCCCAGTTATGAAACATTCAGACAGCACTTCTCACGGTTTTCCAGCAAACTCCCACTTGCACCTGTTTTTTAACTAAACCAGATGAAGCCAGCACAGCCCCGCCTTTCAATGAGGATCCTTTGCGAGCACGAGATTGTTTTATTTGATTTTACTCAGAACCAGCCTTGCTCACTCCCCGTGCAGTGGATCCAGTGTCCCCCCCGTGTTACTTTACAAAGCAGCGCCGTGCCAGAAGCGGCAGCGAGAGCAGCCCAGCACTGGAGGCTGCTGTGGCCAGTGGTGGCCCTGCTCGCCCCCGGGCACGGAGGGCAGGCTGCTGCTCACCGAACACGTGGACAGTGGTGGTGCTGTTGCTGGTGCCCGCCACGCTGCTGGCCATGCAGGTGTAATCCCCGCCGTCCTGCAGCCGAACCCGCTCCAGGTGCAGGCTCCCGTCGCTGCGCACGCTCACGTACGGATTGGGAAGCAGCTGCCAAGGGAGAGACGGAACCTTTCACTGGCAGAATACTCCCTAACAATGCTCGCTTTGGGATGCTCCGTGGCTTTGCTTGACTATGTCACGTTGTTAAAAATTATGTGTTCCTGGAGAATTTTACTAGAGTTTTTCCTACTTTCCATCTTTCATGCAAAGCTGCTTTTACTTAAGAGTTTTAGTAGCACCTCATATTTACTGCTGGAGTGAGAGTAAGAACTGCAAGAGCTACTCTGCTCTGCCACAGCACATCCTGTGCTGCCACTCCTGCATTTAATGAAGCAAACCCAAATTTAGCTCAATTATTTCACTGTATTTTTATTGGTTACTCCTGTACTTGGTAAGTGCAGTGACTTGTTCTTCTTCCACAAGTAGACTATTTTCCTTTACAGCTATCAAAACCTTCTTCTAACTTCCACATGCATCAAACAGATCAGCTCTGAAGCAAACCATTGTGAAAGAGAATGGTAACTTTCACCAAGGAGTAATCCTTGAAGAGTTATATATCCTACAGCAACATCAAGCTGAGCTTGGCAGCACAGCCCTGTCTCATAAAGGGTTGTTAGAAAGCAAATCTGTTCCAGTCACACTCAGAAGCAGCTGAATTCTTCTCTAAATATAACTTACTCCAACACTTTCCTTGGAGCACAGTTTTTCCCAGCAGTTTACAATGACAGGAAACCAGCACTACTAGAGAGAGGAATTAGCAACTCAACAAGGAGGATCCTGCCAGCATTTCTCACAGAGCTTACAGCCTGGGCTCCTTGCACAGCCTAAGGAAAAACCAGAGATTCCCAGAGACACCTAGACTGAGCAGGAAACCTGAACAGGAGTCAAGTAGTACCAGGTTCTGCTTTGTGAAAATAAATTAGGCATTTTGCTACAATATTTTAATTCCAGTTGTGCAGAAAGGGTTTTAGGGAGAAATTAGCAACAAAGATAGAAAGCAGCTTCATAGGGTAAAGTCAGAAATTTTAGTATTAAAGAACTGAAGTTTCATACACACAGGCAACCCAGTGGTGTCTACAGAACCTTTCTAGAATCTCCAAGTGGTTTGGGTGGGAAGGGACCATAGAGATCACCTAGCTGTGTCTGCAGGAGGTATAAACTGGCAATGGTATGTTCCCAAAGGGGAAAATAAAACACTCATTCATGCTCTGAGTAGAGCACCACCAGGAAAGGAGGATAGGGAACAGGGACACTGGAATTTACCTCAGCCCATCAGCAACAGGAAAATTAAAACATCCTAAATCTACAGAAATTTTCTGGTACCTTTATTTTTAAAAACCTACTTTTGTCATTCTAGTAGTCATATTCCATTAGCATTCCCACATTCAGAGTCCAAGGCTGAAGTTCATGAGCTAAAAAATGGCATAAAACTCCTTTGAAAGCAAGCAAAACAGAAGATAAAAGGATAATTCACAAATACTTTGGCTCCAAGTTATTTTCTAGACCTCCACATCCCTCACTGCCATCTCCTATTCCCTCATCTGTACTTCAGGATCAGAAATTCCCTGGCATGGGCAGTGATCACATTAACTTTTGTAAATCAAACCAAGCTGTTATCATGCCTTGAGATGTCAGTTGTAGCTTTCCTCTGCCAATAAATCTCACAGGAAACAAACTGGTCTTACCACCACATTGTTTTTAATCCACCTCCTGTCTGGAATGGGGTTCCCAGCAAGCAGAACACAAGGCAAAGTGAGCTGCTGGCCCTCAATGACATTGGCTGTGGCAGGGCTTGCTCCAATCCGAGGAGTGACTTGAACAAAAGGAAGAACAAGAAGAAATTATTAGGAATTTTTATATAGTCATATAAAGTATTAAATTAAATTAATATGAAATTGAAGACATGAAAAAAAGATAAATGTGTAGGGGAGGGGTAGCACAAGAGAGATGGGAAGCTGGGGAAATACAAACAGTGATCCTTAGCCTAAGGAATGGCAGCAAATGGAAGATGCTGTCCAGCTGAAACTGGATCCTATCAAGGGTTTCCCTGGGAACTCATGCTCCCCTGGTACCAAGTTGAAGTATCATTTTTCCTTACTTGGGCAAAATATAGAACAGAAGTAGTGGGTTTGGAGAGGACAAAAAGTAAGTTGTAATTTCCACTGGGCATAAAATTGTGAAGGATCAAAAGAGAGGTCAGAGCCCAGCAGAAAATCGGCACATTCTGTGAAAAGCCAACAGCAACACATCTGGGCACATGGCTGCGAAATTAAATTAAGTACTGTGCATTAAATAATACTTTTAAACAGGTAAAACCATGTCTATCAAACACTATCAGTGTTACTGGTTCTTGCAATAAGTTTGAAGTTAACAAATGGTTTCTTTGATGGTAGAGAATCTCTGTTCTTATCCTCATGCAAATGTACACATTCCATTGCATTATTTTTCCTTTTATTGCCAGATGTCAAACTGAGAAAACAACCAATCCTCTAACAGCACGGATATTTGAAAGAGAGTAGGGCTAGATGGGATATTGGGAAGGAACTGCTCTCTGTGAGGGTGGGGAGGCCCTGGCACAGGGTGCCCAGAGAAGCTGTGGCTGCCCCTGGATCCCTGGAAGTGTCCAAGGCCAGGTTGGATGGGGCTTGGAGCAACCTGGGACAGTGGAAGGTGTCCCTGCCCATGGCAGGGGGTGGCACTGGCTGGACTGTAAGGTCCCTTCCAACCTAAACCATTGTGGGATTCATTTATTGTCTTTTTGGACACCAAGATTCCTTCCCACCTATCTCAACGTTGTCACAACCATGTTCATTGCTGCTTTTTTTTGTTGGTTTTTTTTAAAGATTAATTAAATGGCAAGAACCCAAATCACTAGCATTCATCATTATGGTGATTTCTCATTCCTCAGTAAACTTACTTAGGAATAAAAAAAAAAAAAAGATAAATCACTTCTTTAAGGTCCAAGGTAAAAGTGTGGGTGGAACTAATTCCAGTTAGTGCAGCCAGTCAAAAAAAAGTTCTAACAAGCAAAATCCACCGAAATCAATTACAATATCCCATGTAAATGTTTTCTAATTCAGTTTGTATGGATGACACACAAATACAGCACACAGATAAGTCAGCATGTATGGACATAACCCCCAGGCATCCTGTGTGCTGCCCAAACACCAGCAGCTCCCACTGCCATGCACTGCTCTTACCCAGCCCTGTCACGGTGACCGTGGCTGGCCGGGACTGAATCCTTCCAAACTGGTTCTCAGCTTCACACACATAGGTCCCTTCATCACTGACCCACAGATCTACACGGGGAGAAAAGAGCTGATTGCAGCATCTGAAATGATACATGGACAGCCAGCCCCTCCCTCTGCACATGGACACCGTGTCCTTGTCTCCCCCACCTTCAAACACTCAGTTTGAAACAGAGCATTTCTTTCCATCAGTCACCAAGTACAGATGCAATGAAAATACAGAAAGGAATTGAAAGCTAATTAAGAAGACAGAATAATATTGCTTAGCATAACAGTGACTGAAATGCTCCAAAATAATCAAAATCACAAAGCCACTTGAAAAGTTTTTTATTATTACCCAGATTAGGACAGGTCTAAAACACTGAGTTTGGAACCAATTCTCTGCTAAAAAAAACCCAACCACCCAAAAAAACCACAAACAAACAAACCAAAACAAAAAAAAACAACCCCACCAAAACAAAACAAAAACCACAAAAAATGAAAATTCATGGCTCCTCAGGATCAGAGACTATAGGCCATATGTATTTCAATGAAGACATATTAATCTGCATGAAGAGGATTGAAGCCAATGACCAAACACAACTGAATTCAGAAGCTCACAGCTAAATGAACTGCATGTCAACAGCAATGACATCAGTATCACAAACACAACCTGTGATAAAAATCCAGCCTTTTTCCATAGTTCATTGTCTTAGTTCCTCATGGAATTCTGTTCTTTTGAGGTTGGGTCTACCTACTGTGGATGGCCAGTGCGCCTGTCCTGAGCTGGCTGCTGGAGCTGAGTGTGGAGGGTCGGGAGAAGAGGGGAGCCCCATCCAGCCTCCTCCATGTGACCCTGGGCTCCGGGTAGCCCTGCACGTAGCATGGCAGTGTCACGTTGGAGCCCAGATCCGCGGATTCGTCACCCGGCTCCTGGGTGAAAACGGGCGGAGCTGGGGAGAGAGCACACACACAAAGTGAGCACTGCAGCACAGCAATCCCTCTCCCCAACGCCACTGAGGGCCTCAACTTATGTCCCACTCTGCACAGGTTCTCTTCTGACATTCCCAACTCCAGAAACATTCTAAGGATCAGCATGGCTAAATTCCTTGTCTCTGCAGACAGTGCCATTCGTTCAGAAAGCAGATGTGCCTGACAGGAACATTTAACAGGATGCAATGTGTCAGGCCACAGGCAGATGGAAAGAATTAGGAAAAGAGGAGAGGAAGGGCTAAATTGTACAGTAACCCCACATTATAACTCAAGTTTGTGTAATTAATTCTCTATTTGAGAATTCTGTTAGGTTGAGGTTTGAACAGCTTCCTCCTCCTGTGCCTCTCTTCCTCCACATAACTCTTAAACTTCGCAAAAGAAGTTAAGACTGGGCTGGAAACAGCTTTAAGGTCTCTTCCAACCCAAACCATTCCGTGATGCCAAGCTGGAGTCCAAATGGGGCAAGGAAACTGCTCAGCCAACACCACCAAAAGGTGTTCCCAGCACACACAGAGATCTGTTAGAAAGGTTCAGGGAGCCAAAGCACCACTCCCTGACCAGTACAGAAACTCTGCAATCTGAATGTGTCCCACACAGGTTTTAACTACTTACAGCCAACATCCAGAGTTATGTGGCCAGCAGCCCTCCCTGCCTCGTTGGTGGCCACGCACTGATAGTCACCAGCATCCAGGTCTTGTGTTTCCTGGATCTTCAAAAGACCCCGGTGAATATCAATAATGAGAAATGCTGATGGCCTCAACTCTAAGTCACCTAAGTCCAGACAGAAAAAGGCAATATAACTGTTTATATCAAATATATACCTATATTTAAGAAAATTATCCCAACAAAACAGTGTCCAAGTTTGAGTTAGTTCACAACACAGCTGTAGGAATTTAGCAGATGAGAATTCTGACTCCCACTCAACTGAGAGGAAAAGTCCACTACTACATTAAATACATCCTTTTTTATTTATTGGTTCCATAAGGCAAACACAAACCCAAGTACCTTTGGGCAGAGATCAGCACTAGTACAGTGTGTCAGGCTTTATGTTGCCTTCTCTAATTAGAGGCTACATGAAAACAGAACAAGAAAGGCTTCAGAAAAATGTTTTGTGGTTTTTGTAGCATAAAGCTAAACATTTTGTGAAAGAATGAACCTTATTTAAGCAGGCAGAAGGCTCAGCTTTGTTTTACTATTATTATTAATTATGCTACTATTATTTTATGCTACTATTATTATTGATTATAGTGTGTTAATTCACCATATTTAAATAGAAGCAGGAATTTATGCCCTAGAGGTCAATGCCATTTCTTCTAGATTTAGAGAATTTCACAGGTCTGTCACTGATTAAATACACCATGATGCTCTTGAGAGAAATTAAGTCACTTCCAGACCATTGTTCTAAATATTGCTGCTAAATAAATGACTCAATCACCAAGCAATAGCACACCTTTAAACCATTTCACTTGAGGGGGTGGGATTCCAGTAGTTTTACACTCCATAACAGTCGTGTCTCCAAGACCAACCAGAATTTCACTCTGAACTACAGTCAATGTTGGCTCCTCTAAAAAGAAACAAGACAGAAAAAAAATGAGCTCTTCACCCAAAGTATAGGTAATTTTTAAGATATAAACCACAAAAGACTCTAATTTTCTCATGATATATGGAAGAATGTTTGCATTAAAAGTCAAACAGACTTAAAAGTCAAAGATAAACACTGGGAAACAAGGAAAAGTAAAGTCTTGTCCAGAGCACCTGAATCATATGCAGAATATACAGGAAATATAAAGACAAAATCAGAAAAGTTTCACCATGTAGAAAGTACAAACATGAAGAGTCATTCTCCTTCTCCAGCCAGATATCAGTCATAAAACAGTTTAATACTCTGCTATCAGTGTTTTAACACAGTATTTTGATACAGAAACACAATTTTTTTTCCAAAGAATCACTCAGGTTTCCCAGCCTATCCCATAGTAAGACTCTATTTTAGGGGATTTTTTAAACCTAAAGAGCTTTCTTTTTAGAAAGAGTATCAAGCTCCAAATACTACCTAACAATACTACTCAGGTTTTAACAGAAAACAAAAGGGATATTTGTGAGCTGTTCATCATATCTTCTGAGATTTTTGAAATTTCTACTAGTACATTCTGCAGGGTTCTACTCATTTGAACAGATGATAAATTAGTTTCTTTTTAAAATTTCATTACATTGTTTTTCTTGCTTACCGATGTATGTGAGGATGGATGTCTCTTTCTCTGTCCCAGCTGAGTTACTTGCCAAACAGCCATAAATTCCTGCATCTCTGGGAATTGCCTTTCTTATGATTAAGGTGCCTTCTGGGGTCATTCTGTACCTGGGAACACAAAGGGGACCAAGCAAAACTATTAGAAAGAACAGTGATTATATCCACACTCCAGGCAGCCACAACAGCATGAGTAGATGTTTATAAATAGGTGTTTCCAGGATTTTTTCCTCATGATAAATACTATTAGTACTATTATATCTAGCACTACATTTTGTGAAAACTACATAAATTAATCTTGTAAAACAACCTGAAGAAGAGAACTAAAGTGTTACTCTGTTAGAGATGAGGCAATTACAATTAAAGAGTTATCGAAGTAAAGACTGAGGTACTATTTCCAAAACTCATAGACTCCTGTTGAAGTAGTAGAATATTTTGGCACAATTTAAACCTTCCTTCTCACATATGATATTAAAATAAATGGAGACAACTTCAAGTCCCACCTGCTGGAGCCCATGATAAACATATCGTTGAGTGTCCACACAATTGTTGGCTTTGGGTAACCCGTGGCAGAACACCTGATGGACACTTCAGAATCTTCTGTAAAAGTCTGGTTCTTGGGTGAAATTACAAGCCTTGGAGGTTCTACCAAAAGAAATTAAAAGCAGCAATTTAAAATGTGTTGTTAGAAAACACAGGTTATGATATTCCCATTTTCAAATAGCTCCATGGTGAGAAAGCAACCCAATGAAGGTCAGAGCCTACTTGTTTCCACTGACATAGTCAATCAAAGTCTCAGACTAAACCACCTTTATAAGAGGCATTAGGTCAGAATTCAGATATTGGCCTTCCTGAGAAGAGATTTAAAAAGCAGCAGGAGAGCCAATTCTGGCAAACACTAGACAATGAGCAATGTGGACGGTGTCCCTGCCCATGGCAGGGGTCAGAACAAATTGAGCTTTAAGGTTCTTTCCAATACACACCATTCTGTGATTCTATGACATTTATTCAGATTACTGGACACTAAAGCCCATAAACCTTCAGGTAGCTCAATTGTCAGACTGTAAGCTGTGGGATAAGAATGAAAGTCACGATATATGTGCAGACACACAAGTGGAAGAGAAGTGAATCTGCAGTGTTAACAATTGTAAAGCATGTTATGGATTTCAGGGGAGCTTTCACTAGAAAAGCAATTGGTGAACTCAATAGAATTCAGTCATTTTTAACCCAGAGAGGTTGTGGATCCTCATCCCTGGAAGTGTCCAAGGCCAGCTTGGACAGGGCTTGGAGCAACCTGGGATAGTGGAAAGTGTCCCTGCCCATGGCAGAGAGTGGCACTGAATGAGTTTTAAGGCGTCTCCAACACAAACCATTCTGTGATTCCATAAGAGATATAAAGAGGGATAAACAAAAAGAAGCCTTCAGCATCAATCGGCCAGTCACACTCACCTGTTTTTCTGGCGTCAACTAAGGGAACCCAACTAAAAATTAGCATCACCTTGACAAATAATCTTGCCTTATTCACTTGTCAGTTGCCTTACTTAGCTACCAAATTCCCAGTGATGCCATTCCCAGTCCCTTCTCATCCCCACCAAGGTGCAGGGTGTGCTGTCCTGTAGCATCCTCTGTCCTGGTAGTCTGCAGAGGGGCACCCACATGTTGCAAGTAAAGAAAGAGAATCACAGAATGGTCTGGGTTGGAAAGGACCTTAAAGATTATTTATTCTATCATGTGCAGGGATACCTTCCACCAGACCAGGTTGCTCCAAGCCTCAAATAGTTCTAAAGAACAGCCTAGAGAGAGGCACAAAAGGCCCTAAACTGTTTTTGATTTTTTTTAGTACAGACACCTTGCATTTAATTAACTTTAGATTTGAAATAGCAACTGAAGCAGCAGTACTTCAGTTTTATTCTCGTCCTCATTTTCACAGTATTTAAAGATTGCAGAGCAGTATAACCAGCTCCTCTGCCCATTATCACAGCATGCATCCACAGACCTAAGTGAGCAATAATCACACCATCAGTTAGAGAGAGATCTGAAAGACCAGTGTATTTATTTCTGTATTGTATCTTTTCAGAGAAAAGAGCAGAAAAATATCAGAGTTATGCCACAAAGGTAATTCTCCTTTCATCCATCTGGGCAGTCTGTTCCCTGGAGTTCTTCCACATAGTAGTACACTCATGCTGAAACCCCACTGTGTTCATCCAGACCTGGTTTCTGCTCCTGCCTGGGATGTACTTGAGTATCAGCATTGCTTTGTTGAGCTAAGTCACACACGCTGTCTCCTGGGCTATTTTTTTATATTTTCAGCTGTATTCCAGTTCTGGGCACTGGGAAGTGCCCCCAGCAGTCCCCCAGGAGAATGTTCCCCAGGCAGCACCGGGACCCACTTTTCCCCACTGCCCATCTAAGGCAGCTTTTCAGAGAGCAGGACAGCACTCCTGTCACCCCCTGGCTTGGCCAAACAGCACTTGCACAACTCTTATTACAGCAATGACAACTCTTCAATGCCCAAAGGAGACACTTGACTCAGGTGAAACACACAATAAATCTGTTTATTTCCTGCAGGTGTGGCTGGACACTGCATTGTTTAACAGTGCTCCCTGCAAGTAGGTGCTGAAAGTGCCTTTCAGCTGTGATGGTGATCCCAGACAGGCACTTGAATATTTTTAAATAATAAGATGTAGGAAACCCACTATGGTGTGAAGAGAACAGTAACTACAGCATGTATGATTTTATTTCGCCTATACATTCACATAAAAAGATGCACTTGAGCAGGACGCTGATTTCACCGCTTGTTAACCCAATGCCAGAATTCAGATTACTGACTCAAAACATCTCCACTAATCCCAACCTAAACACAAGCCACAGTCTCTCCCCATTACACAGCTGTGTTGCAGGGGTAAAGGAAAGTTGCAATAATCAAGATAACCCCTTCCTGGTCTGCTCTGAAGTAGAGACCCAGTCTGGGTCTAGTTTGGCCAGTGAGCCAGCCACAGCCGGGATCAGCCTGACACTGTGGAAAGCAACACCCTAAATTCGGGGACATTGTTTAGTTAGGGAGAGTTAACGTTTGTGCACTCGGGGTCATGGGAGTGACTATGTAAATAAGAGTTATGTTGCCACTTATGATTAGTTACACTGTTTCTAGAATGTTAATCTGGGAGTTCACAAGTTGTGTTCACCCGTTGTTGGGGGTCTTGGTCTCTGGCTGCATTCAGGAGCGCTCCTGTGTTACAGGGAAGAAGAACAAAGGATTTTCCACCCAAGACCTGACACCTGCTCTTTTTTCTTCCATGCTGACTCATCGCAATTGTCACCTGTCCCCACGGGCATGGGCCAGCAATGCAACACTCTTATACCAGAACACATGAAAAACCAAGATTATCATAAAATCACATTTAGCATCACCCAAATTTCCGGGGATTAATGGTGTAGTTGAAATTCTTCAAGGGGAAGAAGGAAACAAAAAAGCCACCACAAATCAATCTCTTCACCATGCGTACATACTGTTTCAATTTTTTTAAAAAGCATGCAAATTCCTACATTCCCCCCCAGAAATCAATATTACTGAGATGTATATTTGAAAACACCACAAACAAAACATCAAGCTTCCACCATATGCTATATTGAGCCTAAAAAATATGTAAATAGCAAACTCACATTTCACCTACCAGGCTGTAACAAAAACAGAAAGAAAAGGTTTAAATGTTCATGGAATTCCAGTCATCAGTGAGAAACATATTGAAAAATACATAGGATCACCAATGTTTCACACTCCTGGCCAATCTCCAGCCTCACACAGCTGCAATATACTCCTCTAGGCACCTGAAGAAGTAAGGAATCCCCTCATAAACTCATTTATGTTTCCATACAAGACTGACCTGATGGGACGACTGGAGCAACTCACACTACATAGCCACTTTTCACAACTCCAAATTTGAGCATATACTTTTTAGTCCTAGCACTCAGTGGGCATCAAGACTCCTTGGGATTTATCAAACTGCATTCCAGGAGCTTCCAGAGTGCTCTGGACAGCACCCCAGCCTACAGAGAGGCCCGAGTTTCACACAGGGCTGTGCCCTACCTGTGTCCTGGCCGTGGGGAGCAGTGAGAGGCTTGGGGACACAGTGTTGTTCTCCTGAGCACAGAGCACACAGCTGGGGCACAAAGTCAGCCCCACAAAGACTCCAGGCTGTATTTGCACAGCTGCTGGCACAGGAGTCACGTGAATGTTCCCTTCCAGAAACAGCAGCATCAAACCCAACACTTCCAAAACAAGGGTTCACTACAACCTTCCTCAGTAGGAAAAGCAGATGCTGGGTTATTTTTAGAGCCACCAGCATTTGTTCTCTGCCTTAACTTCCTCATGAGAGAGAAAACAAGGATGAAAGCAGTGTTTATTCTCTTATGATCCAAAATTCAGAGATCTACAGGGAGCTGGTCCAACAATAATAAAGGGCATCAGGATAAATTCAATTTGACGTTCTGAATTACTTACATCTACACAAAGCACGGAGCCATCTCCATCAGTTAACAAGATTTCAAATTTCCCTCTTTGGCATGTTAATAGTACAAGCCCATAAAGCTGTAGCTTTTACATCTGGCCACCCTTTACTCTTTGCTGCCAAATAAAAACTGTTTTTTGAAAACTATTTCAAGCCCTAACAAGCACCACAAGTTGTACATGACAATCACACACTGAGTACCCCCAGAAGTCTGATGGAAATCATTCTGTCCAAGAAAATTAAAATGATCACAAGGAACAGTACTTGCAAACCTTCAGATACCATTCAGCTCCCACATGCAGCCATCAGGTAGGCTGACAGTAGATTACTTTTTCCAAACAAAAGAGGCAGGCACTGCAAAAGTTGAATTCAGCTGCAGTTTAGTGCTTCCTATGTATTTATTCTGTTCTAAGCATCCTTTACAAAAAATAAAGAAAACTTGACTCCGAGTTGCCCAAGAGGGTTCTCTCAAACACATTTGAAAGCTGTTACCACTACCAGGACCAGCCAAAATGTAATTCCCAACTATTTGATACAAGCATTCTACATATATAAGTGATTTGAAACTCAGTATTCTGTTGTGGCAGCACTAGAACATCTTCAGCTTTACTAGAAAAAAATCACCAGAAGCAATGTGGTCATTGTATGAAAGCTCCCAGCTGAACTACAGATATTAGGGAGGAAAACCTAAATGCCAGGAAGAGATGAACAAGGGAGAAAGGCACTTCTCTTGATACCTCTGACATGCTTGAATGAGTGTCTTGATGGAAAAATTCTGTACGATTCAAAACTAGGTTTTCCAAATGCGTGGAGGTTGAGGTTTTTTAATTACTTTTTTCCTTTTGCCTTTGTTAAAAGTTCAGGTTAGAGAAATTTAAGTTAGTTAGAAATTAAGTTAAAGCTCTGCTGTAGCGATCTAAGGGTAATTCAAACAGATATTGAAAAAACGCGATTAATTCTGCTGTATTCTGTACTAGGCCCTAAACAAGTTGTTCCACACCTACTTATTTACCTTGGTAAGCAATACAGGAAAAATTACATCCCTTTAATAAGTGTTACAACTCCACTTTCGACTGTTTTGGAGCATCTTAGGTCAAGCTATTCAATTCAAAATTTCTTTTTTCCATAATTCTATTTTTCCATTAGCTAACAAATTACTAGAATTAGAGCAGAAAAGTTAATTAATCAATGTCCTCCTCTTCACAGAACATGACCCAGCAGCATCACAAGCAGAAATCTGTTGGAATCACCTACAAGTGACAGAATCATTTTCTTTCTATGCAATTTTGAGTTTTGTCTCTTCTCAGCCATAGACAGGTGAACCAAGAACCAAGGTTCAAATCTCCACATAATCAAAGCAAATAGAAAAAAAAACCCCTGCGTTACTTGAAAATTTTAAAAATAGTTGCTCCAATACCAATTATCGCATTTATACTTTTTTTCCTTTTAAATTTGTTCCTGATACACAGCGAAAGCCCAGACATAGATTTGTTTGGTCTCACTTACGCTGCCTTTTTTAGTTCTGATTGTTAATGAAATCACACAATGGGTTGGAAGGGATGTTAAAGCCCCTCTAGTTCCACCCCGCGCCACGTGCTGGGACATTTTCCACTATCCCAGCTCGCTCCGAGCTCCGTCCATCCTTGGACACTCCCAAGGATGAGTCTGCCCGAAGCTGCGCGCAAGCTGCTCCAACAGGAGCCCCGCCAAGCGCGGCGCGCCGCCCTTACCTTGCACGGTGAGGAAGACGGAAGCCGTGGCGGAGCCGCCCTCGTTGGCAGCAGTGCAGCTGTAGCTGCCTTCATCCGACAGCCGGGCCGGCCTCAGCTCCAGGGACTGGTTGGGCAGCAGCCGCAGGCGCAGCGGGTCCAGCCGGCGAGCATCGCGGCCGTGCCGCTGCCACGTCAGGTTGTAGCGGCCGGCGCTCAGCACCAGGCAGCTGAGCACGGCGCCGGCCCCGGGCAGCACCGTCACGTTCGCGGGCACCTGCAGCACGGGCGGCGGCTCTGCAAGGGACGGCAAAGGTGTGAGACAACCTTGTCTGTGCGTCCTGGTAAACGGCTGCAGGCACGCCGCGCAACAAGGACGTTTATAGCGTAGTTTTACTATTTAATTATTTAAGAATTCAGGTTTAATATCTGGGTTCATCTCCCATGGTGAAGCCACTAACAGAACGCAGGGCAGCAGCCTCATTCTGTGATGCTGAGCTACCTGCCAGGAGCTCACATCACAAGGACACACCTGGTCTAGATCCCAACTACCACATCCTGTATGAGAAGAGGCAGCTCTGTGTTCTTTAAGGGATAGTGTCATAGCAATGGGAGGGAGACAGGACCACCACAGCCTCCGAGTCTGATCTCTGCTCCAGGTGTGACCCCACCTGGCGGCATTTGAACTATGCAGTAGATTTTTACAGGTTGTATACGGAAAAAAATACGTTAGTAGGAAATTCTTCCAGCAGCAGCAATGGAACCAAGTTAAAACCATTAGTGCTAGCACCATTACTGAGTTCTTTTCATGATGGATTCTATACAAAAATGTGGAAGGAGAAAGCATCCATGCTCTTAATTGATTAAGGACTTCATAGAATAGAGTAAGAGAGGGGGAGGTAATAAACACAGTACACAGACAGCCCTGACAGACAGCAGACAATGCCAACAGCCACTCCTCCCCATGCTGATTGAAGGGCACCAAAAGTTACCAGCATCACTGCAGAGGGGCCAGCCCAGACTGTGCAGCTGATAAGGACACAAGCCCAAGGTCCCTGCTATGGTGGGGCTGAGGGCCAGCTGGCAAACTCATGAAGGAATATGCAGGGAAGTGAATCAGAGAGGAGAAAAGGGAGGAATAGGTAGGAAGGGGCATAAAAGGGGCCTGTCCCCTGTAAAGCACCACCAGTCAGTGTCCTGTCTGCCCTAGCTCTGGCCCAACCAGCACAGCTTGTTCTCTCACTAGTAAATCCCTTCTTTAAGTCTCCCAGAGTAACCTTAGTCCCTGTTCCTTCTCTGTATCCCTGAAAATATTAAGTGCCAGCTACTGGGGAACTGGTGTAAGTAGACTGGGTGCCAGCTGCTGCAGTCACAGCAGGAGTTGAGGAATCCCATGCCAGTGGTACCAGCTCCAGGGGGGCCTGGGGTCCCAGCCCCAGCTCTTGGAGCCACAGTGACCTCAGGCAGCACTGCACTGCTGCACACCAGCTGCCCCTGGGTATATGGGATGAGCTCTGGCAGCCAGGCAGGAGGAATTCCTGCAGCTACATACAACACCCTTCAATTCTCACTTCCACTCATCTCTCTGGGAAATTCATTATCTTTTCCTGTATATATTTTATGTTGAAACTCCCAGTATTTATCTGCTTTTTACCTGACCCACCTGTACAGTTCTATCATGCTCCCAGAAGAAAGCAGATGCAGTAATTTTCTACTGAAATTATTTGAAACCACCGATGCTTAAAATAGCAGCAGTCATTCTGCTCCTCTTTGAGATATTACTGACCAAGGAGGAAACATTTCAAGAAAGAAAATGCATTATTTATGAGTTTATGCCTTCCCATTAAAGATATCACGTATCTATTCCATTTGGTTTTACCCAGACTGGTTCTTGAACAAAGAAAACTCCACAATAAATAATACTTTGAGAGGGATGCTTGTGCAGAAATGAGACAGCTGTAAGAGCAAGACCAAATCTTTATCAGTACACACTAAAACACAACTATCCTAAAAAAAAAGGATAACAGGGATAAACAAAAATAAAAATCTGTATTTATTACAGATAAACTTAAAAAAGGGTTAAAGTTACTCCTAAGGTCTGAACGAGCCATAAATCCTCTTCCTCAAGGTCTCCTGGGGGGTCTCACATGAGGTTCACAAGCTCCATGCTGGATCCCTGCTCAGCACTGTGCCCTGGGTGTGCAGCTCTGCCTCCCTGCAAACACAGTCCCCACAGCAATCGCCCCCACTGCCAAATCCATAGACTTTAACCCAGGCAGGGGAGAGTCAGGGAAAGCTACACTTGCTTACTGAAAGGAGCTTCTCCCCTCTACTTTTAGGTTTGGGATGTTTGGGAGAAACAAATCTTCTACTGCTTTCCACACACTTATTATCAAATATGCTTCCTGAACTCAGAAGAGAGAGAGATGGAGTTCCCATCTTTTGACTGCCAGTCTAGTGGGACAACACAAGTTTTGGACTACCCCAGCCTCTGCCCACAGCAGTGCTCACACTCAGCCATCCCCCAGCACTTTACTGGCTCTTCATTTAGGGTGTTGCACAAGCTAATGAGCCATTTGACATTTTAAAGATTAAATAAGAGTAAAACAAAGTCAAACTCAAGTGTTTGCTTTCTGTGAAATGAGAAAATGTTGGCACAGCTCCAATACCTTTCACACAGCAGTGGCCAGAATGGATTATCAGTGATATACTGTCTGTCAGTTGGGTAAACCAAGAACACTTGAAAAGATTGTTTGCTCCAAGAAGAAATTTCAAGTAATTTTCTTGCAAATATTTGTACACAAGGATTTCAAAGTATCTTCCATTAATACTCTGCAGGGCTCTGAAGAGAACAAATAGCCATGTTTACACAATGACTCAGTTCCAGGCCATCACTTGTGCTTTGTAAACGAGGGGATATGGGATTTTTTTTCCCTTATTACTCTTGGCTTTCAAGTGCTACAAACATCACAAGAAAAAGGTCAGGATTCTCTTTCACGTTTCTCTTTGATGAGGAGAATGATTGCAATTTCTAGACTGAGAATCCTTATGCCCACAATTGCTTGCCCTCCAAGCCATGGTTTGAAACAAGCATCTGGGAATATTCTTTCTTCTTGAAGGATTTTTGTGGCCAAAATATAAACTAGTGCTCCAGAACCAGGACTTGGGTAAGCACAGATGTTACTGTTCTGTTCTACTCACTACTTCATGTGAATAAAAGGATGTTTCTCTCCTCAAATTCATCCCTTGGCACAGGAGGGCTCTTTCTCTACAAACCTTGCCTTGCATAAAATCAATGCTATCACACTGGCTTCTTTGCATTTGCTCAAAGTACAAAGAAAGGAATATCTTTGCTTGGAAAAAGGAAGGTGAAGGGTTTTGGAGCCACTCTCTTCACCTACTGAGAGGACTGATTTATGGAATACACAATTAGAGTCTTCTCAGGGCACAGGAGAGGAAAGAAAAAGATGAGAGTCTTTGTTCATCCTTTGTTCATAACATGCAGCAGAGGAAATTCTGACCAGATATACAAAATATTTTCCTAGTGGGGGTAATTAAGCACTGAGGGCTGCCCATGAACTTGTGAAATCTCCACCCTTGGGAATATTCAAAGACTAACTGGAAAAGTTCCTGAAAAACATAATCAAGCTTAGAAGCCAATTCTCTTTGAGTGAATTGGACTAGGCAATTTCCAAAGGTGCCTCCAGTCTGAATTGTTTTGTGATTCTGTGACTCATAATCCAGGTTAATTTACCTGGAGTAGCTACTGCAGGAGATAAGGGGCAAGAAAACATTAATTTCAAGCCATTAAAGGAAACCCTGAGTCAAATCCTGTTGTTGAGTTCTCCCATTCCTCCCTGTCACAGAAAATTCACTGCTTCAGTGTTCTCCCAGCTTGCCAGCAACAGCTTTTTGCTGTAAGACTCATATCTGACCAACACAAGGCTATATAGAATGGATCTTTGCTACAAACCAGAAATTATTTTTCCCTCTCACTCTGTCTGCATTGCAACTGTGAAAAATTAAGTGACAAAATTTGCTGTAGTACAGGCAGAGGTCTCATCTATCCACAGACAGAAATAAGCCTACTGTTTATTCAAAATAATCTTTGTGATTAGCCCTATTTTTACCTCATTCAGTTTACTTCCTCATCTTTATTACCACTTTTAAGAAATTCAAGGTAATAAATGAGATTTCCAACAAGTTACTGAATTTTGTATTGTAAAAAAGCAGAAATTTGAACACAACTTTCATACTTCCTTGTCTATCAGGAAACATATACATATAATTAAGCCAAGATACAATTGCTACAAAGTGAAATAAAAATGAGAACAATTGAAATCAGAGATTTAACCTTTGGATTCTACAGGTCAGATCTATTCTGCAAGTCCAACTGATTGCAGGAATTAAAACCAAACCAAATTTGATACTTAAAACAGGTTTGTTGAATAAACCTCAGCTCCCTTGTGGACACGGGTGAGGAAAACACAAAGTAATTAAAAATACACTTAAAATTAAGCGGGGCCGATAAAATACATCGGCCCCATGTGCTTTTCTGAAGTGTTCAAGCCCAAGTAATCCTCCCCAGCAGGGTGGCTGGGACGCACCTGACACATCGAGGAAGGTCTGCGCGCGTCCTGTCCCCGCCGTGCTGGTGGCCACGCACTCATAAAAGCCCTCGTCGGACACAGACACCTGGGCAATGTCCCAGCTCATGCTGGATGATTCTCTGCAGGAGAAAAGGGCATTCACTGAATCCCTCAGGGAACCAAGAGCTACACCAGCCTGGTTTCCTGACTGCAAACACAGGAGAGTTTCTCAGTCATTAAGAGACAGGACAGACCCTCTGGTGAACCAAACTGGATGTCACTTTATGGACGATATTTTCTCGTAAGATTTTGTAGAATGTCCCACTTGCACATCAGAAAATAAACCTTTAACAAGTCAGCAGTTGTCACACAATACCCAAAGGCAGTGTATTTGCTGTCACTCCCTCAGCTGCTTGTGCTCTGTTGTATTTACCACCTGAGAAGATATTTCTTGATGCCAGCAAGTTTCTGTGTCAGTACGTGGTACCAAACCCATGCCTCTTACCAGCAAAGGCAACAAGGTCTCATCTGCTCACCTGAGCTTCCCAAACTCACAGGTACAGGAATCCAGAGAACCCCAGAGAACCACTGCAGGTTTTCTCTAGGTCCCAGCAAGGCCAAGGCTGCTGGGCAGTAACACCATGTTGGTATCACACACAGTATGAAAGCAAGGAGGGAATAAAACTGTAGCTACACAGGCTACTTACATGTGCTTCAAAACATTCTCAGTTTCTCATGATTCAAAACCACATTTTATAAACTACAGACACATAGAGGATGACATAAATGAGCAAACCAGTGGTTCTGCAGTGTCCCAGTGCTCTTCATGGCCTGTTACTATGGCACATAAACAAAACTGATAAGCACCAAAATATCTGTGAGAGCTTTGGCAAGTCATTGCCACATTACAGGAAAACACTACATTAATGACCCCTTTGTTTGTCTGAATAGATTGATTTATCAGCCCTTAAAGGATACAGAAGGAATAAGAGACTTGGAATATGCACAGAAGTTCAGTGCTGTAGCACCATGAGACATACAATCCAACCACATCACAAATGAAAAGTGTATGGTGACCTTAAATGGCTTTCTACTTGTTCCCTCTTACCTCATACTTACTCTAGATAACCTAATGTATCATACTTCAAATCTATGACCTTTCCCAGTGCAATGCTGGCACATGAACATGGCAGCAACTGCCAGCACCAAAGAGTAAGGTGATGTTTCTTCCAAATAACGAGTGAGAAACTCCTCTGTTTCATGGAAAGTATTTTAAAAGTGAGGTTAGGCAATCCTGTTCTGCTTCCTTCCTGACTTGTGCTACACACCAGATGTCAAACATGGAAGCCTTGAGAACAGAAGCACAAAGGGAAATGTGCCCAGGGGGGTGGAACAGCTTGGCAAAACAAAGATCTCTGGTGGACTATTAAAGAAAAATTTAAAAAAAAATCAAACTGACACTGGCAGCAAGGACTAACAGCTCAGCACATTGCTCCACACACGGGCACTGGGTGAGGAGCTGTAACTGCACACAAGTCACAGCACATTTCATGGGATAACTCAGCACCTTCCAGCACCACCATTGCCTGTACAGTAAAATGAATTTGGTAGGTAATCTGCTGACTGGATGTACAAGTGGCTGTTTGTCTGGGCAGCTTGGGAATTACAAACATTCCAACTTCAAAGCCCAGATGAACCCTGGTTCTCTCAGTCACTGCAGAGAGCATGGTGGTGCTCGGGTTGTATCAGACCTCACCTCCTGGACACCCCCACCATGCTGCTCCAGACCTAGCTGGGAAATCACCAGAAAAAGGCTGTGGTTCACAGGGAGAAATGAAACCTCTAATTTCACTTCCTAGCACATGGTTTGGAGTGATATATTCTGCATGGTTTACTAGACTTGAATAGCAACCACAAATATCATGATTGTTGTTTTGATTAAGTACATGACTTGCCTTTCTTGTCAGAATTTAATGTCTTATTTTTGCTGATTGTAATCTCTGCAGGACTGGTGGGATCTGCTGTTTAGTGCACTTCAGTGCTCAGTTCCCACTGATTGCCCACTGGAATAAGGCATTCAACTACTGCTTTTGACCTCCTATATCAGGCTGAGCAAAAATGCACTGGGATATTAAGCAAAATCCAAATGTTCTTACTACATTACCAGAGGACTCAGAAATGTAAAAATGCAAAGCTGATAGAATTTTAAAAAAATTTCTTCTTCCTAACATATGTTACTCATTTAAAATTAGGAATTATTATTGTAGCTGATAGTACCCTCCGGAACCAAAGAAAAAAAAATTAATTTCAAAGTCTGTTCTCCTCATGAACCCTGAACCTGTAGTCATTCTAAGGATATTTTCACATAGACAACTGTTACAATAGAAATATGATATTCAACTTGTAAACCATTTTGGTTTTGAAATAAATATTAAAACAGTTGAGTAAAGACATCTCGACACCAAAACAAAACTCATTCAATGCAGAAGAACACTGCAATTCAAATCTGCACTGAACTACTAAGCTGGACTAACCCTGCCTGGAACTTCACTACAAATAAGAGGCAAACAAGCCAAGCTGAATTAGATCCTATTTAACTGTGACCAATAGTACTTGGCTTGAGATATGTTTTGTTAAATTAACTTGGATGATGTGTTCATTCATCCGCACCGTAACAGAAAAAAGAAAAACGCAGCCGAATCAGCTGGATGTGTGAAGAACAAGGAGAAGCGTGGGGTTTGATACCTAAGGAATGGAAAACATTACACAGCAGCCCAAGTATGTGCTGTGCTGGGGCTGACTGTGTATCAGTGGCACCTCATTAAAACCCAAACCACACCAAGCTGCTGCATTTCCCACTGCCAGCAGTGCACAAGGCAGCTGCAGGATGTGTTTACTTGGGTATGCTGTACCTGCTGGGGAAAGCAGAATTTAGTCTTCAGTCTGCTCCTGAGCTGCTTCAGGCTGCATAGGAGGCTGCTGACACTGTTTGCTAGTGTACACTTCACTTTTGGTTTCAACAAACTGAATTAAAAGGGCATTTTATGAGTATTTTAACTAATTCAACTTTTTTTTCATTATTCTTCTCTCACCCTACAGAGAAAGGGCACATAATTATTTTTCTATACAGAAATCTGAAGAGCCTTCTGGTACATCACATAAATTTTGCTATTTTGAGAGATTTTCTGAAGATGAAAGTTTCTAGGGCAGGTCATAGGACATACTTCTAGGGCACCCATGAAAGGCATAAAAAAATCAATCCAATTAATGCATGCCCATTCATCTACTTATCACTGGGGCCAGAGTGAGAGGTGTGTTTCATTAACAAAGCGAGTTACCAATTTTGCATAACTTTTAAAAATATAAATTAAAACTATTTGCCTTCTAGACTTTTAGAACCAGTTTATCATTATTTCAGAGCACCACCACATGCACAAAGTGTACACCCTCCTCTATATGTCATATATAGATATATCTCTCTATATATATTATCAATATCTCCATAAAATACAGCTTTCCAGATAAAGAGCACCAAAAATAACAGACTAGAAGTAGCGGGATGTAGACAGCATATAGCAGTAAATAATAACAGAAATCATAAGCTATAAATAGGAAATGAAGCAGTACTGTGAAAAAACGTCACTACTTACTTGAAGAACTGATCCACTCCCAGTTTTACTCCATTTTTAGTAAAACGCTGAGTAAAAGGTATAAGGCTTTCAACATGACAAGGAACAGAGCCTGGCTGTAAATAATATCCTGGAGTCTTCACGGGCATTGTAACTTTGGGGGCATCTGAAGAAAGAAAACATCCCCCAGAAAGTATATTAACAGCTATTAACACACATCCTATCCTTTCCTTTTATTAAAAGGAAGCTCAATTTCTGATAAAGCTCCACTTAGTAGGTATTGACCATCATGAACTAGAGACACAACTTTGGAAAGAAACAGCACAGAAAGTACTTGTGTAAGTTATAAAAGCATACAAGATCTCAATTTTAACTGATTCAGATGAGACAAACATACAGTCAATTCAAGTTAGTCTCTTACCAGGAGTAATACTAGAAAATGAGACACTTGAAACTCTCTGAAAAAGGTAATCATCCTTGTCATAGCCCGTTATTTTAACAAAAAAAGCTTCATCTGGTGGAATGAAGTCAGAAATATTCCATAGTCCATAGGGCTTTCTGTCAGGATAGTATTTCACAGGCAAGGTCTTAAGGAGTTCCCCTGTAATACTCAGAAGTTCCAGTCGGTCTACTCTAGCTGGAAGCAGGATCCCTGTGGTATTCAGCAGCATGAAGGTAGGAATCCCTAGAAAAACAAAAACACGCTATTTTAAGTGCTAAAGAAAACAGACAACTAAAACATGAAAGATTAAATTCCATCTGCATGGCTCACTACCCCATAAATGCAGCATTCAACTCCAGCTCTTACCTACCAAGCAGGGAAAGGCTAAATTGTGCTGAGCTGAGCTCTGCTTATTAGATGTGAGGAGACCCAGCTGGGAAGAGTTTAAATTACTGATTTTCAATAGGCTTTTCTGAAATAGCAGCTTCTTTATGAGCTCCTCACCATGTCCCTGGGCCAAGGTGTTTTTCTGAAGCTCCAAAAGTAACAGAAACAGCAATGTCTGTATTTAAGTCACACAGGTACGAAGCCCCCCCAGGAACCAACCCACAACATCCCTGGAGTTACCACAAAGCTCATCATAGAGCTCTACTCGATTTTGGGGGCCTGAAGCTATTTAGCACGGACTAAAGTGGAAACAAACCTTGCACTGGCCTGCTGGATGTTTTTTTAAAGTCTAAGGTGGGCTTCCTGGAGAAGCCAGCCCGGAAGTCAATGGTGCTGAGCCCTGTGATGCGCACAGAGTGCCTCCCGCTGCTCGACGTCTGCAAAACAGCCAGCACATGGAATTAGGGAATCTGCACTGCAGGGACTGCACAGAGGGTGAGCCAGCCTCCGAGCTCAGGACTGACTCCAGCACGGTTAACAGCAGCACGCAGAGGAGCCTCATGGATAAAGCTGTAAGCAAAAGCACCTTGAATAAAGCTTTGCTTTCACATCCAGGCCCTACAGTTGTGGTGCCAGCAAAGAGAGCCAGTTTGTCTTGGAAGTAAATCACACCAACAAATCAACAACTCCTTGCCACATGCTAGTGCCTGCAATGGGAGCGGTCTGGAAGTCAGGACCTGATCACAAACTCTACTAGAAAAGGGTGAGTGAATCAGAAGTCAACAGAAAAATCTATGCATTAAAGGTGCTTCTCTTCCCCAGCCAAGGGGAAAGCAGAGGGTGCAGAGGTCCCTCTCCCCTCTGCTCTGTACCCTTCTACGCTCACTTTGTCATTCTGCTTCAACCAGCAAAAAACAAATCAGAACAATCCCCACCCATCCATTACCCTTGAACAGCCTGAGCTTCATGTTCTGGGGAGTACAGCTGCCTTGATGCAAGTCTTTCATCTTAAAGAAGACAAATCGAAGTAATTACAAGTTACTTCCTACGACTCTATGCAGAGAAAGAAAGGGTCAGCTGCTACTTGCCAAAGGTGCACAGGAACCCATAGCTTTTCCTCCTCTCCTACTTCTACACCCTTCAGGGTGGAAGCTTCCATTGGGCTTTCCCTGGAGTTTTACCTGATCCATTCTCAGACTCCTGCATCTATCTGGAAGAGAGGTTACTCCAGAGTAACCCCCACTGCTGCATGCGAATACCAAATTAAACAGTTGTTTCTTATAACTAACAATCTTGGGACAGGCATTAGACATCATGACTAATCAATGTCTATCTGATTAGAACAACATATTTCCTTCTATTTAGTTAGCCTTTCACCTCAGAAATAGCACCACTAAAGCCTTTTTTATATAAGCCAGCTGTTAACAATATAAAGAAATATTTAATTGTACCAAACAACTCAAGGTATCAAGCGTTAATTGCCAGTTAAAATTTCATTAGATCAACTCAGTGATAAAGTTCTGTTTTATAGCTTGGTGCATGTGTATAAGGAGTTTATGGTGTGAATAAAATTTTCACAAAGCTTAAGTCTTAAGTCTTAAAATCTCTGTGTCAATAAACCAAGCCAGGGACTAAAGCCGAGTACACAATCCACAGAAAAATACTGGGAAATCATTTCTCTTTATGAATTACTCAGACCTTTGGATATTTGCAAGTTTTAAGGCCAGAATAACCTCAAAATTTTACTATTTCCTAATAACAATTTACACATCTCTCACTGTCATGTCTAGGAGCTGGGGGTCTCTAAGCAAACACCAGGAATTAGTTTTATCACACAGGACTGCTTTCCAATTATTATGTTTAGGTCTCTTCTCATTTGTTATTGAACATGGATTACAGAGACTGTACAACAGTGTTTCCCCTCCCAGGCTGGATGAGTATAATCAAAAGAGCAAATACATATTTGTGAAAGATGCTTTCCTGTCTTGCAAACAGCATCCAAGTATTGCCCAAAATACAGGCATTTATTTAAAAATGCATGACGTGGCTTGCTCATACAATTTAGATTAAAATATTTCAATTACATATTCAAGAGATTTTCTTCATTTCTTTTTGAACCCAAAATATATCAATTTGAAAGTTTTATTCATGCTCTTCATGGAGCTGGAGACAGCATTATGCTGAGCATAGGAAAAAAAAAAAACCTAAAAAAACCTCCCAACCCCCAAAACACTCCCAGGCCCTGGCTGCAGGAGCAGCCTAATGGCTTGGCAGGGCTGCTGTCCTGCTGCCAGGAGTGCATGCCACCAGTGGCAGCCTGGGCACGAGGGGACTGCTGGCTCTGCAGGTGTCCCACACTGAGCCCAGGACTCTCCCCCAGCGTTCGGATGCTGGCACACACCAGTAGCTCAGCTCACATCACACAGCCAGGAGCAGACAGGGCTCTTCCTGCCCTGTCCCTCTGGGCTGCAGGGCACTGCATGTTTGCTGCACTGATCCCTCACCCTAGAAATCTCCAACACGTGATAAAAGTGAATCCTCCTGCACTAACTGTAGGAAAAGGTCTCAGGACTCAGTGTGGCTCATGTTACCATGTCCAGCAGGACCCTAACTTTTTCATTTTTAACAGCCCACCAAGTTGTCTCTGTACTGGAGTTTTCAGCACTTTTGGTCATAGAATCATGGAATTGGAAGGGATCTTAAAAAGTCACCCAGTGCCTCCCCCTGCCACGGGCAGGGACACCTTCCATTATCCCAGCTTGCTCCAAGCCCTGTCCAACCTGGCCTTGGACACTTCCAGGGATCCAGGAGCAGCCACAGCTTCTCTGGGCACCCTGTGCCAGGGCCTCCCCACTCTCACAGGGAACAATTCCTTCCAACCCTGCCCTCCAGCAGTTCAAAACTTTTCCCTCTTGTCCCATCACTATCTGCCCATATAAAAAGTCCCTGTCCCTCATTTGATTAGCTCCCAGTCCTAGACAGACATTCAACAATTCTCCCCAGAGCTGCTGAGCTCAACATGCTTTTGTAGCTGCAGTTCTGCAGCAGAATCAAGAGCTCCCCCAGGGCTGTGTGTGAATTAATGACCCTTTTCAAAGCACCTCTGTGCTTAGGGCAGGGACAATGCACAGCAGGATCCATTCAGCACTGCCTATAAAGTGCCTCACCCGGGTGCCTTCCCCTCCAAAAATGACTATAGAGTATTTACACTGCTACAATAGAATAGTTCAGTCAGAAAGGATCTACACCAGTAGGATTGTTTCCACATCTATTTAGGAAAGCTGGGATCATGCAGCTTTATCTATGTAAAGACGGATATAACAATATTAAATACAAGATCACAGGACATTTACTGTAACACAGACTCAGCTGTGAGTACCTAAGATAAACAACATAACAAATCATTATAGAACCCTTTTATATGCTACAGGAAAATCATACATGAGGTCTGCAATAACTTTACCTTAATTGTCCATGTTCCAGGCTCTGGATCTTTGACATTTACTACCTTTGCAGAGTTGTGGATATTTAGCAATTCATTCAGTCCTGATCCCTTACTGAGCTGCTTGCCTGAAAAAACAGAAAGTAAATACAGGATGGAGTAAACACAGTATTGCTTAAAAAAAAACCCCAGAGAGTAAATACAATATTGTTGTTTTGTACCAATGTATTTCTGATACTTGACTTACTCACTACTTAGCAGTCAATGACATTTACAACAGTCAAAATTCCCTGCAATTCTTTGACAGAATACTGAAAACGTTAATTTATATGTGGGTGGTTGTGTGCAGGAATTGGCTCTCTAGAGAGGGATTTTGCCCTCAAGGCTGACCCTGAAGAATCATCAGCCCTTAAACTCACCTGCCTCTTTCACAGCACTAAGGGGAAAGAGGAAGTGGAGACTGGGATGCCCCAGTGCACGTTTTCAAAACCTACTAGACGTGCCTTGAGTAATTTCAGTGAAACCCTGTGGATTTAGATGCATGGAGCTGATGTATGAGAAAGGCCAAAAAGAGGTGGGGTAGCAGCTTCAGCAAAGCCTGACACTTGCACCCAGGACTGTGTGTTGTCATGGCTTGAACACAGACACTGAGCAAATCTCTCTCCTGTAAACAGGAATGCCTCAGTGCAGGACAGACCAGACCACGTTGCAGGGAACCCATCCTGGGCATAAAATATTTCCAAGCTACTCAAGCTATATCCTTAGGCAAAAGTCATTCAGAGAATACAAAATATGATCTGAATTTATTTCTCGAGTGCTGTTCCAATCTCCTAAGGCATCAACATAATAATAAACAACAGATTTGTTCAAAATAGCTTCAATTACAAATTAGCTCCAAATCTGTCATTGAATTCCTCATCACACACTGCTAAGCTGGAGATGGGCAGGGGAGACAGGTTTGGTTCTGAATGTTCTCACAGTTCAAAAAAGCCAGACCACGGTTGAACTTTCTTCACATAAAACACAAACATCATGTACAACCCTTAAATGATGGTTCAGAGAATACAAAAACAGATGAAAGGCAAAAGTGTCCAGCAATCTGGAATGCAATGACAAATAGTAACAAAGATGGAGGTGAGATGAAGGGGATAAAATAAGGAAGTTTTTCAGTTTCCTCTATGGGAAAAAAAAACATGGAATATTGGGAAAAAATAAAATATCAGAAGGGATTTTCCTTCCCTTTCTTCACTATCACAAAAGAAAGTATAAAGTGCTTCACCTAGAGGATTATGAATCTCCATTGCTGGTGAAGGACCACTCAAGGACACTGTAACTTCCTTCAGACTGGGATCAAAAGGGATCTGCCAAGTATTTACAGCCATGGACAGATGGTCTGTAGACAAGAGATGCACTTTGGAGGCTTGAACTGCTTCTTCAACCCATTTTAACACCTAGAGGAGAAAAGAACAGTTACTATACTGTCAGCAGTACTGGCTGTTGAAATATTTTCTTCTGAAATGCTTGTCTCTACTGTTTTGTAGAGATTCCATATTGATTTATTTTTTAAAATGTGAATACTTAAAAGGAAATGCAACTTTAATAGAAGATACTAGCAAAGCCGTGGTCAGCATGGTGTTTAAGGAATACATGAGCACACCTGGATACATCTCTACACAACAACCACAGGTAACTTTTAAAAGGAATTAGGGATACAAACCTGTGGACATTTCTGGTCATCAGTTATTAGCTGCATGAAGCAACAAGGAAAATTTTCTCATCCAAATGTACTGAGCAATTGCTATCTATGGACTTTTCCAGGGTTTTTTCCCCCTAAAATGCCTAGTACAAATTACTGTTAGGCACAGCACAGAGGTGGGACTGGAGGGGAACATGGATTTGGAAGGTGTGTCCCTGCAGGGCATGGAGCTTCCCACACCAGGGAGAGGACAGGAGCCCATGGGAGAGCCCACAGTGAAGGAAGGGTGTGAGGAGGAAGAGCAGCCAAGAGAAACCTGTGTGTACTGAGCACAACCCCATTCCTGCTGGCACTGCAGAAGGGAGAAGGAATCAGGGGAAAAGTTGAGTTGGGCAAGTGAGGCAAAGGTGTTCCTACCTGTCTTTGCTTCCCACCACCTGAAGGAATAATTGAGTATCTATTTTAATTGGCAACAAATTAATTTTCCTTAAGTAAACTTAGTCTTGCCCTCAACAACTGGTGATTTCCCTGTCTTTATCTCAACCCAGAAGCTTCCTTAACCCATTCCTCCTCTGCAAGGGGTGAGTGGCTGAGAGGGAGCTTGACAATCAGCCAAGGGAAACCCACCACAACCAACCCAAGCTCCCCAGAAATACACCTGGCTTGTCAAACTATAAAAGTTTGCATCACCTCTGCATGTCACAGAGCTGCAGCCTATTTTTAAAATCCTACTGAAGTAATACTGGGTTTGTGTAACAATGTAAATGTGACTCACATCAATACTGAACCATGATTTTAAGTTGCAGTTGACCATGGTGGCATTGAGAAACATCTTGTGAAAGTGAGCCATCTTTTGATTGTCAGTTCAAGACGTGGAAACCAACAATAAACTAACCTGGATGTGTCACCTCTCAGTACTGGGGGTCTCCAGGGCAAGTCCTTCAACCTAAGACCCAATTCAACACATTGCCCAAAAGAACATCATTCCCCTGGTTTATTGTGCATTACTTGCCTACTTTATCATTAAAAAAAATGGAAATATGCCACAGGTTTGTGTGTGAGATGACTTTGTGATAGAAACTAGATTCCAGCCTACTATAAAAGTCTACTTGTTCTCTTGTTACAGAAACATTTGTGCAAAGACGAAATAAGTTTAAGTAAGTGAAGGGCATCATTGAAAACAGATTTGAAATGGTGGGGGCAGGTTTTCATCAATGATTCCCCCTCCAGTCTTAGCAATGTGCCACCTGAGTCATGCTGAGTGCTCCCAGCACAGGGTGAGACAGCACTGACCAGGTGTCCCCCCACCAAGGGTGTGCCTGAGAAAGGTGCTTGTGCATTTTTGCAAAACATTCCCAAAAAAATCACAGTAAAATTGCCTGTGCTGCTCTGAGCTCTGCAGGAACATGGCCCAGGAGAGAAGTGGGGTTTGTGCAACAGCTGGTGACACCAGCTAGGGAGTAGCTTGTGTTTGCTTTAAACAAGCCTGGAACAGGAATCACAAGGCTTCAAAAAGACACAACTAATTTTCTACTTGAGAAATTATACATCTGGGTCCAAAAAGGCTTCCAAAGGAATTTCAGTGTTCTACTCCCAGTGAGATGAGCATTTTTTTCATGAGGTATATGGAAAAGTTCCTATTTAATTCCAGGATCTCACCTTCACCGGTAAGTTTTTAAACAGATTGTAAAATTCAATGAACCCATATGAACTTCAGTTTCTGAGAGTTTCCAAGATCAAAACTGAAAATGGAAGGCAACAGAACAACCCAGCTGTCTGCAGTCTGGCAGCAGCTTGCTTATATGAGTTCAATAGGCAGTTCTGGGAGATCCATTTCCCAGCCCTGTCATTCCAAAGGGGTTTGCAATACTGCTGTAACACTGGTTTAGAAGTAGGTTTTTTCTCCTCTGGGACCTTTACAGAAAGCCCCCAAAACAACAGCAGCTTTTGTTGTTCTGCCAAAATATGACGTGATGAATATTATTAGAGGGGGAAGGGCAAATACAGCAATGATTTATAACATTTCCCCAGAAAATTTGCTCTTGCAACCTGCCCTGCGGTCAGGTCATTTCTTGGAATGCATAATGAAACCTGCAAAATCTGTGGAGCATGGTCTCTATTCCCATTTGTTTATTCTGGGACTCAAGAATATTTCTCAAGCAGTCAAAGCAATGGGATTTCAGGTTAACTGTTTCATTGCTTAAGTAAATTTAGGTTCATACCTATACCCAAAGAGGAAAAATATTCTAGTGGTGTTTTTAAATGCATATCAAAAACATAACTGAGACAGTGCATGAGAAAATAATACTGTAAAAATAGAACATGAATGATGTATATGACATGTATGAAAACCACACGACTGAAAAGTCTTAGTGTTGTATCTCAAGCTCTTCAAAGTTAGGAAGCACAAGAACTAAGCCTGTCTGCTTTCAACTGCCTTTTAAAAGCCCTTCTGCAGCTGCTTTATGACAGACCTTAGGTACATGATCGTGGTTTATTTTTTCCAGACTCCAAATTCCATAGAAAACAGAGAAAGACCAGCTCTAACTATTTGTTTTTCCTTTCTTTGTTTGGCATTCACTATACATTATGTATCTTCAGAATAGAAGTATTCAGCTGCTTCTCCCATGAAACCATAAACCATTACTCCTTTTTCTATGAAAATGGATAATGCCTGTTTGGGATGAGAGAGAAGAAAAGGCAAGAAACAGAGGTTTGCACGAAACCTTTATTCTATACTGTAATTTTGAACTTTTGACTTTATCACCTGTGTTGTATTCTTGAAAAGCAGTGGAGGGGCCTTTTACACCTTTAACTGAGTGAAACAAGATTTCAAATTGCTTCCTCTGCAGCATCACCCAAACACACATTGGTCATACACAGCAGGGACCTGTAACCAATCCAAGCTGTGTGGGTGTAACTCTTGGGTTGCCATCTCCTGGGAGGACCAAGGGCCAGCAGAAATAGGATGTTCTCCCGTGGGTTTAGGCACCTCTGTTTACAGCAGAGCACTCATGAGTGACCACCACCATTCCCTGTGATCTTACAGATGATACCCTTCAGCACCTCCCCCAAAACAACAACCCCTTTTGCACCATCCCTTCTAAATGTTCTGTCACCAGTCTTGTCTTCAGTTCTCCCTCAATCTTGTCTCATCCATAGCATCCCTTTCATTCACATTCTTCTCATTCAATTCCAAAATCTCTTTTTTTTCCCACACAGATTCATCCGGCTTTCAAGTCACTCAACAACATCCCCTTCTTCCATCAAAGTCAAAGCCGTGTCCCCATGTCATTCTCAGTTCTCCTCTATCAATATTCTGTATATGGAAGATCCATTTCTACTTATTTTAAAAATCAGGAAGAAAGATATATTTTTAGGCAGTCTAAAGACAGTAGTTTTCCCTTCTTACAGAAATGTTAGAAATAAGAAAAAACAAGTGCTTCAACACTAAAAGAAATGGAAAAACACCACTCACCAGCTCAGTCCTTGTGAACCCCTAGCTTTATCCACACTGATCAGTCCAGTTCATCAGACCAAATGACTCATTTTTGCCACAAACAATCAAAACAACCTGGAGACATAACCTGAACTGCCAATAACTAATAAACCTCCAACTATTTTCCACAAGACCATATTCACACTGCTGATCATCACAATTCATCTCACCACCCCTTCTGACATCAGTACAAACCTTTGGGCATCACAACCATTTACAGGAATTTCCTTACAGAAGGATCATTTGGTGTGGTGTAATGTAACTTCAGTTCAAGTCAAAATTAGTAGTACCTTTTGGAAATTGGACACAGTTATGAAAATAGAGAATCTGCTCCTAACAGGGAATTTAACCCATGCTTGATGGAATATTCTTAATGTCACGAGAACAGAACCTGAGGGAAGGGCTGGAGCTGTGAGGGAGGGTGAGACCAGAGAAAGGTTCTTCCCCCCAGAGGGTGGAGGGCACTGCCCAGGCTCCCCAGGGAATGGGCACAGCCCCAAGGCTGCCAGAGCTCCAGGAGTGTTTGGACAATGATCCCAGGGATGCACAGGGTGGGAGTGTTGGGGTGTCTGTGCAGGGCCAGGGGTTGGACTCAATCCTTGCAGATTCCAAGGATCCCCTCCAGCTCAGTATATTCTGTGATTCATATAAATTTCAAGCAATTATTGCAAATTAAGCCCTGAGTCTACAAAAGCAACCAGAGAAATCTCACCCTAATGAAACACTTTTCAAAATCAGGACTTCAATGCTTTGATAAAGCACTTTGATAAAGGCTTACCAAGACACTGGGGACAACGTTTCAGAATATTACAATCCTATAATGGTTTGTATTGCAAGGGACATTAAAGCCCATCTTGTCTCACTCTCCTTCCAGGAGGGAAGGGACACCTTCCAAGTCCAGGTTGTTCAACCTGGAGCCCCAACACTGGCCTTGAACACTCCCTCCCAGGGATGAGGCCTTGATACTCTAACTAGATAAATATTCTCATTTATTTAATGCACAGAAATCACAGTGAGTTCATAAAAACAGGACCTTCATCCCAGACTCTTAGATGAGCTACCTTCAGCAGGTAAGTGGAGATACATATGTATTTCATGCTTTGCTGGACTGAACCCAACACAACTTCATCAATCACTAATAATTTTGCCCAGGTTAATTGTAGTATTTGAAATCAGAGCATGTTTTTCAGAAGTAAAAAGAAGGCACTAAGCTTTCATAGTCTTCTCAGTACACAAGCACTGGATGTTGTGTATCAAGAAATGTTTTGCTGTGTTTCCTTGTATCTAGCTTAGAATATTGCTTCATTCTGCACTCAATGCTCAAAGGGCAAGAACAAGAGGAATGGTTTGAAACTTTACATACTAAAAATAGCTTTGTTTGGGTTTTTGGGGGGTAGAATAATCAAAATGTTTTAACAAAACAAGTCGTTGGTTTGGCAGGGTACTCTGCAGGGACTTTGTAGCTATTTCCTAATCCCCAATCCAGCGCTGGCTGTCTCTGGGCCCATAACGGTGAGTGTGCTTCAGCATTTATAAACTGCATTCTTTACACATCATCGACTCCTCAGAGAGAAAGGAGGGCAAGTGTGATTGCTTGATTGCTGCTGAATCCTGCCTGAGGGCTATCCCATAAACAGTTGATCAATGCTGATCCAGAACTGAAACCACAGAGAAGGTTTTACTGGGGATGGCAGCAATTTGGTCTACTCATTTTCACAGTCACTTGGCCCAGACACAGATTTATGTAAGGTCAATAATCACTAAAATTGCAGAGTCTTTTAGGTTTGGCTTTAACACAAATTGTTCAGCAGTTATTGTGGAACACCTCTGAAAGTGATTTAGGGTTTGCTTTTTTTCCACCTTAGGCAATCTCTTACACTCTTTCAGTATCTCTTTCCAGTGGCCATAGGCTGTATTTTTCCCTCTCTCTCAAAAAAACGCTGCAAAAATATCACCCACTGGTTTCACCCTCTGCTCATGTGCAGAGGTGGGGAGGCTCTGGCACAGGGTGCCCAGAGAAGCTGTGGCTGCCCTGGGTCCCTGGAAGTGTCCAAGGCCAGGTTGGATGGAGCTTGGAGCAACCTGGGACAGTGGAAGGTGTCCCTGCCCATGGCAGGGGATGGAATGAGATGATCATCAAGATCTCTTGCAACCCAGAACATTTTACAACTTTACAATTCTATGATTATTTACTCAAAAGAAATGTTGAGATGAAGCTGTAAGGGGGTGAAAATGGCTACTGAAACTCCCTGCTTAAAACATTACCCAAAATTCCAAGACAGTCTATCCTTTCAGGCAGAAGCCAGTGTTCCTAGAAATAGGGAAGTGCCAAGTTCAGAAAGCAGCAGCAGGCAGCCCAGAAAGCAGCTTGTGCCAGCTCCACTCCAGGACACGGTGCTGTGCAGCACCTAAAATGGCTTTATCTGCTCACTTCCACCTCTCAAAAGCAGAAGAAAACAAAACCACAACAATCAAACCAAACTTTTATCCTAAAACTCCAGTCCTGGCAAAGAGCATTCCCCACTGGCAGTATCAGAGGGTTGCAGAATTCGTTGTGTTGGAAGGGCCCTTAAAGACCATCTTGTTCCATGATGATCCCTTCTGTATAAAGGGATTTCATGGAGTGTCACAGAGAAGTTTTACCCTTTATACATAATAGCAAAATGCAGGCCAGGAACAGACCAAGCAGGTAATTTCTTTTCTTCCAAATTTTAACCTAACTTTTGGAGGATAAATCTTCTGGGAAGTTTCTCCTTTTGATCACCTTCACATCACTGCCAATAGCCTCTATCATTCCCAATGAGAACTTCAATTTTTCTAGGCAACAGCTGTACAAAAATGCAATTTATCTCCAACATTTATCATTGTCCAAATTTTAAGACAGAAAGAAGAAGGAACAAAGCAGAGTAAATTTTTATTAAAAAACCTCAGCTAGTTATTGCCTACACTGGGAATTCAAAGGGGAACATTTACAACATTTATAAACAATTCCAGCTCTCCAGATAAATACCATGTGATTTCACCTCCCTCCAAACTGTTTTCTCACGCACTTCTGAAGTTTCATTTCTGTCTGAGACTCACTAAAGTTCCCAAAGCAAACAGTCATTCATGGCTGTGGGTCAGGAACCACAGTTACCAGGAGGGCAGCAGAGGTGGCAAAAGTACTGTAGCAATAATCTCAATTAAAAAGTTACTTCCATGACTCTGTGAATAGTGGAAACCTGAAAGTCCACACTATCCTGTGTGGGGAACATTTTTGTCCAGGCTAAGTAGCAGTCCTTTACTTGCTCACAAAATGCTCATTTAAAGCCAAATGTGTGTTCTTGTTTTGAGCAGAGAAGCCACTAGGCTACGCAGAGCCCAGAACCACTCCTTTTTTTAAAGGCTCTTCTGGAAAACTTCTGGCACAGGAAGAGGGAAGTTGGTGAGGTTCTGGTGAGATGTGCCACTTCACACTTCCCTAATGTCAACAGAAGTCACAGAATTGCATCCTGATATAGAAGATGGAGAAAGGAAGGAAGGGAAAGGTGGAACAGAGTCCACATACTAAGATCAGAACATTTAGAAGTTCCTCCTCTGCTCCCTAACCCACCATAAGGTCTCAAAGATTTACAGTATAACTCATCCCTCACTTTATTGATTGCAAAACTCGAGCAAAGTTACCTCATTAACTTGTTTTTTGTCCAAGTGAAAAACTTGACCAGAACTTGTTGAGGCAATTTCTTCATAGACCTTGTAACCAATATGATCCCTGTCATCACAGTCTCCTGTCAGCACAAATACCACCTGGATTAAAGAAAAATCAGTGAATCATTGGACACATGGTGCATAGGTGAGGAAAGCACTGCCAGGGCAGCATTAAGGCAAGACAACAGAAGAATATGTCAGTTTGTTACTCTGCATGGACAAGGCATTGCACTCAGTAATGATGGAAAAGCAATGCAGAAGAAAAGGAACAGACAAAAATCCCTTTAAAAACCAATCAGCCCTGTCATTCACATAATACTTCTTTTAGAACAACAAAAAAATCCAAGTAACTGATAAGCTACCAAAAACACATACACTGATAGAAGATTCAGTTGCCTTATCTATTTCACAAAAATAAAAAGAATATTCCGCTAAGTTTTTCCTTAACCAGATCAATTAACTCTATTAAAAGAAAATTAAATGCTTAAAATGCAGTATTACGGTCCCTTCTGTAAAAAGATTTCACCAAGTTTCACACAGGAGAATTCCACCCTTTGTCAATGAGAAACTGAGCATTAAACATATAACCCAGCTGGGAATGCAAATCCCCTCGGTACCTGTGACTGTTTCTGTTGGATGAGTTGAAGCACTTCATGGGTCAGTCTGTAATCCTTGGATCGGGCATCAGTAAATACATAGATGAAAGAGCCAGGCAGGGAAATTTCTAGAGCAATCTTTATTGCCCCAATGCTCATCTCTGGACAGTCTCCACCACCCTGTTCACAAGTAGAAAGAAAACAGAACTTTTTTTCTTTTAAGAAAAAAAAAACCCATACAAAATAAGTTACTTTCTTTTGAGACATTCAAGACAGATACTTCCTCAGCCTTTAATCATTTATTCACCTTTTCCATCCTAAGGATTTTATGGTTTCTGCAGAGTGCTGTAACACACTCACAAGCAGCAACTGCAATAATTCCAAAGGGAAAACAAAGTCAAAGGAAGAGCCTTGATGTTGGCTGGTGTCAAGGTCACTGTTACCCATTTCATGTTCAGCCCCAGCTTTTGTGACAGCCCCATTTCCCACACTCAGATGCTCCCTTCTGGCCGACAACTCCCCTGCTCTGGGGAGGCAGGTCAGGGGCACAGAGATGGGAAATGGTCCCAGGCAGGCAGTGCCGAGCTCCAGGAGCACCTCTGGACACCAGAGCAGCAAGAACCTGCCTTGGACTCCTCCCTGGGACAGGGAGCTCGGCAGAGGGCACAGGTGCTGTGCTCCCACAGCTCTGCACGGCAGCAGCTGCAGAGCTGGAGGTTTTTCAGACCATGTGTTGAACCAAAATGCTTCCAAGTATGACTTTATCTTTATAGGAAAGGATTCGTTTCTCTCCCTAAATTAAGAATTTGGGAAAAATACTGTTTAAATAAAATCTCACTAACTTACATAAAAATTAACTTGGCATATTGAAGACAGAACTTTCCAAAGAGCTGATACAAACTGTAAAACTTGCCCAGTCATTTACAATGGATCTCTGCATATTCAATATTAAATATAAAATTGATTTCTTTAATTTTTACAGTCAACATGCCTTCACACATATGTATATATAAATCTACACAAGCTGGGAAAGAAGAAGCCAAAAAGAGAGCGGTCCTTCATACTTAAGAATTTTGTTTGTCCTCAGTAAAATATTTGTGTTGGGAATAAGTTTAATCTATCAGGATCCTTAATCTCATTTCAAAGCAAGACTATCAAAAAATTTCTCATCTAAATGAGAATTTCTCATGCTAAAGAATAAGCATGTGGTCACTGTTTTTCTGAAATTCATATAAGAGCCATTGCTCTTTTTCAAAGTCAGTTCTCCTAAATGTAGCCTTAGTCTTACAGGAAAAGCAAGTGGTAGACGCCAGACAGCCTGAAATTCAAGAGAGAACTCTCCAAGAAGATTTCTGACACATGTCAGAACTTTATCTTGGCAATGCCTATACAGTCCAATGGGACACATCAGTATATCCAAATTCTTTCAGCAGAAGACTCTTCCGTGTAAAGTTTAATTTGTGGGTAAAGTTAAAATATTAGCTAATTTCTGCAGACATCCACTTGGAACAGGGAAATTTCTATTCCCACTTCAAGTCTACTTGATTATCATCTCATAATATTCTGTATGACAGCATCTGTTTTCTACATCGAACATGAAAAGCATTACTGAGCTAAACGGTTGTTCTGAGAACAAGCATGGACTTTTTTATTCCTATAATGTAGAATAATACTCTTAAAAAGCAGCTGGTACAACAACAAAAACATCATCATGGAATGGTTTGGATTGGAAGACCTTAAAGCCCATCCAGTGCCACCCTGCCATGGGCAGGGACACCTTCCACTATCCCAGGTTGCTCCAAGCCCCATCCAGCCTGGCCTTGGACACTTCCAGGGATCCAGGGGCAGCCACAGCTTCTCTGGGCATCCTGTGCCAGGGCCTCCCCACCCTCACAGGCAGAGTTGCTTCCTAACATTTAACATTAGTATTGCCTTTACTTAAAAAAAGTAGAAAAATTTCTATTCAGTATTTCCTGCCTTTCTCTCCAAATTGAAATTAAATACAGCTACCTCATGAAGCTTTCTGAAAAAGCTGAGGTGAGTAAAGCTGAGGAAGCTTCATTTTCCCTTCAGTTTGAACAGGCCCACAGAAAGACACAAAAAATCTGCCTAACTAAAAAAAAATTAAAAAAAAAAAAAAACACAAAACCACAAAAAACCAACCAAACAAAACAAAAAGCAAAAATTATATCCATAAGAATGATTCAAAGGTAATTACAGATGAAATACAAGTGATAACTTCTTAAGCTGATCCTGTATCAAAGGAAAATGTCCTTTATAACTCTGAATGTAAAAGAAAACAGGGCCCAGTTTCTGCAGTGAAATGTACACACCTAATTTTTACCTGATGCCAAATGTCAGCCAAAAGACCCTCTAACAATTCTGTGACAGATGAAAGCAAAACAAGAGCTGGGTTTACCCTGATGTTCAGGGAGGACGAGTTGAGCATATTTTGATATAATATGATTAATACTCAAGATGCTTTGAAATAATTTATCTTCACCTTCATTTTAGCTTTGTTCATTAATGAGAATATTTGGTCCATGCCCTTTCTTAAAATAAACCCAAGCTCAAAATTTCCTCTACCTCCACACCATTCACTCTTCCGTCTTTTATCAGTCATTTTGGAAAAATACTGGTAACAAACCTGTAGAAAGTGTTCACATTTTCTCTACTGCAAGATGACTTATCAGTCCTGTTCTAACAATTTTTTGATTTATATTTTAGCCCTTCACCAACATAATGGATGAACACCAGTCAGTGACAGCCTTCATATAGCAGAACGAGCATATCTTGAAAGTAATTATGAAATATGTGACCAACTAGCATTAAAGAACAAAATCTAAAATTAATTAGACAGAAACTTTTAAACAACTTGATTAGAAATTAAGAGTTTGAAATTCCCAAAAGCTTCACCTAAATAATCCACCTTTTAGAAACAGCTGCAATTACTGTCCAGTATAACTACTGAGGAAACAAAACATGAAAACTGGATGGAGTTTTGAAGCTTAAATTTCCTCATGGAGGAGAAAACTGCAATAACTATTGTTTTTTTCTGGATTTCAAACCTTTTGCCAACTTTTAAAGTAATCCTCAAGCAATCTTTTCTTACAGGGATTACACCATGTGCCAGTTTCAGCTCTGCTGACTCCAGCAAGGTTCACCACAGGTCAGAAGCATTTTCCTTGGTTAAAGACAGGACAGTAGGAACATATGTTCTGTCAGTAAGGATAACTTCATTCCAACACTTCCCCCTTTCTTTCTATCACCCAAAGGAACAGCTGGAGCTCTGTCAGGGCAGGGTCAGGCTGGAGATCAGGGAAAGGCTCTTCCCCAGAGGGTGGAGGGCACTGCCCAGGCTCCCCAGGGAATGGGCACAGCCCCGAGGCTGAGATCTCCATTTGGACAATGCTCCCAGGGATGCACAGGGTAGGAGTGTTGGGATGTCTGTGCAGGGCCAAGGGTTGGACTGATGATCCTGTGGGTCCCTTCCCACTCAGGATATTCTGTGATTTTAAGAAGCCTTTGAATCAGTAAGTGCCAAGTAATGCATGGCAGGGAAGGCAATACCTATGGAAAATCTGAGGGGTCTCACAGTCCTCTTGTTTGAATAGTGTTCATGGAATATAATTTCCAGAACACACTAGAAGTCCATAAAAGTGTCTGTGGACAAGTGGCAGGACTAATGAAAATGCCAATTAAATGTTAGCCTTACCTAAGTATTCATTCTTGTGTTATTGAACCATGTCTCCACACAATGAGGTAAATTAAGACAAAAGAATGAATCACAGCCCTAAATTAGGATGAGCAGGAAGATGACAGTTTGTGCAGGCAAAATGACAAAGCTAAGTGATCTACATCCTGATGAATGCTTGCAGCAGGAATAGCAGCACAAGAGGAAAGATTAGTGTGAGGAAACAGTCTTTGCTAGAACCACACAGGAAACAAGTTACTCACCTGAACATAAAGTTCCCTAAGTTCAAATTGAAATTTCTTGGGATCTGTGGTTATTGTCACTGGACCAATTTCTAGAATGAAATACAAACAAAATAGAGTTATCCAAAGACAAATGGTAGCAAAAAAAATGAAACTAAAAGCATTGAACAGAAAAAAATAGTAGGGAATGATATCCCCAGTACTGAAACCTATGACTTCAAAACTTTAATTTTACAGTATTCCCCAACTCTGCCTTAAACATTTATAGGCACATAAAGCCTTTCACCTTTGATTTTGATCAAACATTTAATTGTTCTTAGTAATAAAAAGGGAACAAAAATTCCCAGAACAAATGTTGCTGGACCAAGAAATAATGTATTTTTCCAGAAAGAGGCTCTTCAGACTGGAGAAAATGAGGCTTAGGGAAAACCTTATAGCAGCCTTCCAGTGCCTAAAGGGGCCCAAAGAGATTTGGAGAGGGACTTAGGAAAAAGGCCTGGAGGGACAGGATGAGGGGAAGTGGCTTCAAACTTGAAAATACTAGATATTGGGGAACAGGTCTTCCCTGTGAGGGTGGGGAGGCCCTGGTACAGAGTGCTCAGAGAAGCTGTGGCTGCCCCTGGATCCCTGGAAGTGTCCAAGTCTGGGGCATGGAGTAACCTGGGATAGTGGAAGGTGTCCCTGCCCATGGCAGAGGGTGAAACAAGAGGAATTTAAGGTCCCTTCCAACCCAAACCATTCCACAATTTTGTGATTCTAGGTAAATGTGAAGAGGCCTCTCTGGACAGAACACACATACTTGGCTTTGCAATTTTACTCCTGTAATAAAAAATAGAAAGAAAAAAATGACACTTGCCACATTTCTTCCCTGAAAAAAAAAGTACCTCTGGAAAAATGCCAGTGTGAGCCCTATCCCCAATCCCAGCACATCTAGCAGGAGCTGCCAGAAAGAAACAAAGCAGGAACAACTTTATTCATGGTATTTGCCATGTCTTTGTCTGCTGTGGAAGGGCAGGACGTCCCAGAGAAGTTGCCTGGGGTGCATAACAGCAGCACATATGTGAGCATTTCCCAATCCCACAGAGCTTTCCCTCTGCCCCTCACACAGCTGCCTTCCTGATTGGGATCAAATGTGATTCCAGCCAGCTGGTTCCTATGCCATGATTTCCTGCCTGTTCACCTCAATCTGCCTTGGCACCAGTGCCCTTCATTCTTTGCCTGGCCCGGGCAGGCATTGCTGCCCTGGCCATGGGCACTCGCCCAGCTCAGCAAGCGCAGTCAGGGTGCCATGCCAAAAATCAATAAATAAACACACACACACACACACACACACACACAAATGAAGAGATTTCTGACAGCTGAGTGCTCCAAAGCACTCAAAGAGATCAGTTGAGTTCTGACAGACCAAATGGGGCACAATTCTGCTGTCAGGGTAAAAGCCAAGCATGAAACTGCAACGGTGCCAATTTAATACAGTTGCAGCTTACAGGGAAGTGCTGCCTCAGCAGACCTCACAACACTTTCCAAGCTCTATAAAAGTTAATATTCACTTATCTGCCATATAATACAGATATTTTTCTCTTTTAAAAAAACCCAAGGTTTTATTTCACTGGAGTTACAACTGCCATCGCTAAGGTCTAGTCTAACCACACCAAGCTCTATTCATGAGTGTCTTTTGGTTTAATTTCTTTGAAAGTCACCCACAAGATCACACAAAACCTTTCCTAGACCATTAAAGTGTCCTTGGGGGTTTTTTGTATGGGTGTGAGTCATTTATCTGTGAATGTCATGTACTAAAATGCTGCACTATCATTAAAAGAGCCATTATAAGGACTCACTGTTCCTTCACATACCTCATTCTGCTGTGTTCCCACTCCTCCTGGCACTATTCTCCTTTGGGTATCCTTTAAATCAAACACCTGCAATAAAGCTACCTCCAAATTGTTTTGTTTCCAAACTCCCCCTTGCCAAGCACTGTTCTAAAGCACGTCACTGACTGCAGTTTATCCATACAGCAACCCCCTTAGCTCCATCATTCCCATCCATTGAGGGATTCAGTGTTTCAGGCTAGCCCAGTAAATCCTTTGGAGAGGATTTCTTACCCTATAAAAAAAAAAAAAAAAAGAAAAGCAACACTCCTTCAGCTAAGCTAAAACAGCCCATCAGGTCAGACGGGCTGAGAGCTTGTCCTTCTTCCCCCACAGGCAGCACGGGCTGGCTCCAGCAGTGCCGATGCCAAGCGGAGCCTGGCCAGCTTCCTGCAGGACCAGGGCTCCAGCCGCCCTCTGCTGAGAGCTCAACAAGGAGCTCAGCTGGGAAACGGCACCCGGGCCACAAGAGCAGGGTCAGCATCAAGTGCTGTGGGCAGCACAGAGCAGAGAGCCCCGCAGGAGCCGTGCAGGGGCACATGTCCTCTGCTGATTCCACAAAAAGGCCATGCCTGAACAGTGATGGTGCTCCTCCTCACCACCTGAACACTCGCCAGTCCCAGAAAAGCCAGAAGCTGTCCTTCACACACTGTTGTGCCATCAGCTTATGTGACCTGCCTTTCACAAAAGCTTTAATAGCCTTCACCAGCTTCAGCTTCTTTCATCCTCATTCTGTGACCTCCAAGTAAGGCTGCTTCACCAGCACAGGTAAACATAGGCCTTCAAAGTGTCCAGAATATGAAAAAGTGAGAGGACATTTTGAGAAATTATTTCAATTTACCTAACAAGCATAGTTTAAACAGAATATTCACTCAGAAACTACACCCTGTAAGCAAAAGAAAATAGTAAGCTTTTTAACTTCATTAGCTCTTTAGGTGGAGCTTGACACATGGAATACACTAACAGAATACAGTTATCACAGAATGGTTTGGGCTGGAAGGGACCTTAAAGCCCCTCCAGTCCCACCCTCTGCCACGGGCAGGGACACTTCCCACTATCCCAGGTTGCTCCAAGCTCCATCCAACCTGGCCTTGGACGCTTCCAGTGATGGAGAGGTGTGGTTTTACATTCTCATGCTGCGATCTGAATCCATTTTTGGGGACCAATATGGAAATATTTGGAACTGGTTTGTTGTGGGGGTCTCTCCATTGCTCACTAATCCAAAACTCTCTCCACTACTCACTTTCATGGTCACTCAGAAGGAGCTGTGCAAAGATAAAAAAGCTGTCACAGCCCCAGAATGGCAGTGAGTCTTTTTGAAGCACCAACTCAGCTCTCTGGCCTCACAAGTACAGCATAAATGTCAGCTCTTCCAGACCATGTCAGGAATCCAACAGTCAATATTGCATACACACAAACTGATAACAGCCAAAAGGAAACGTTTTAAAGGAATGGCTGCACATCCCAGAGCAAAGCCTGGACTTCCAAAACTGAAACCACAAAGGTCAACGTAGCCACTGTGGCATCTGAGCTTGCACCTAAGCAATTCAACAACTACGACAACATAGGACTGAGTAACACAGAGATCAAGGATTTTGATGCTTCCTTTCTGGGGCAAGTCTTGTAAAAACCATCTCATTGGTAAATAAGGAGAAAAGCCCGCAGCAACCTGAGAAACTGGCTATTCCAAAAGGCCCTGCTGTTTTTCCATGGCTTTCTGCCACACTTCAAATGGCCACATGTTTATGTACAAGCTGAGCAGCAAGCACGTTGGGAAAACCACAGATTTCCCCATGACACACAATCACACATAATTACCACTGACGGTGATTGCAAATTTGGCACTCCCCTAGTCCCGACCATGGAACACATCTGCACCAAATGTCTGCTTTGGACAGCTGAGTGCTTTAGGAGATCTAGCAAAGGAATATGGAAGTCTTTTGCCTACCTCTCATCAACTCAGAACACTGGATTTGTTTGTTCTAGAGGGAATAAAAATACTCTAAGTGATACATGGCAGCTGAAGGAATTCTGGCAGAGATGCTAAACCTTGTGGAGTGCTCTCACCCACAGAATTTTTTCTTCTAATTCACAGCGAGGATGTTTTCCTGATGCAAAGCCATATCCAGAATTAAAACTAACTAACTAAAGCAAAGATAACCCCCAAAAAGCCTCCACATCTTTGAATACTTCCAAAGAAATATAAATTCCAAAACTATGACACTACAAATGAAAAAGAAGAAATAGAAAAAACCAAAAACCCCAAAACCTACCACAGAATAGCAACAAATCCCCGATATTCCAATAACTACATTTTTATTATATATTATAATACCACAATAATTACACTGTTACATTATATAAATACATTAATTATATGCTAGTAAAAACTAATATTATAGTTACTAGTATATTTAGTTATCTCTTCATAACACAGGATACACAAAAAGCCTGGGTGACAATTATCTTCCACATTCTTTTTTGTTTATGAAGTGGACTGACAAGTCTAGCACTGTGCTGTGGCAATTCTGGCAGTTTTTGAGATCAGAGGACTAATACAGGTTTCACATACCCATATATACAAATCCTCACCTGCCCATTTATATATGTGTGTATATATATGTGTGTGAGTAGACATATATCAAACAATTTTCACCACAAATGAAGAGATGCTGAAGGATTAGGAGTAATCAGATGGGACAGCTGAAATACCTGAACCAAGATTCCTGCCAAAAGAAGCTGTGTATAATTATTCCCTAAGAGCCATTTACTAAGGGTGCTGAGCACCGAGGTTTATCTGATTTAATGCTCTTCTCAGAGAAAGAAGAGAACTGTATCCAATCCATTGCAAAGCTCTGCTTATAATGCCTCTGAAGACCTTTAGAAGCAGCCACTGCCAAGAATTCAGAGAGTAAGAACAATGATAGAGCTGCTCCCAGCCAGGCTCCAGCCAGCTGTCCATCCTGAGGGCACAGAAGCAGAAACCTGCAATTTTCCAACAGCAAATTGGGTCCTGCAGGCTCTTCCCTCTACAGATCCCTCACAAGCTGCCACTGGAAGTGCTTCACAGGGCTCTCCTTCCCCTTAAAGGGAGAGTCATCACACAGGTGAGACTATATAAAAGAAAACCACTTCTAACTGCCATCTCAAATGATACTGAATAGTTTTGTTCCTCACACAGCCAACAAATACATGCACACAGGATCAGAAGCTGTTTTACAGCA